GGATCAGAAGATAGAAGAGCTTCGGCAATCTCTGAATAGGTACAAGAAAGTTCAAGACATGGTGATATTGGCTCAAGGTAAAAAAGGTATTGCACGATCAAAAAAAAAATTTACTCTCATTCTAACTCTAGGTGCATTGTGGTAGTATCATATCGACTCTTAGACTTAGTATCTTTGAAGGCATCTCTTGGGTAGAGTGAAAGCCAGTTCTTCAACTGGTGTGAGCTAGTAATTTGCCTTTATTGTCCAGGCAACTGCATATTGGAGTGGTGTCCTGTTTACCATCTGGTAGCAGTAACTTATTGTCATGTTGCTTAATTCCCCCTTGTAAAATTACTTCAAATATGATAAACTCTAAAGCTCTTTCCATAGCCTCTTGAAATGCTATTCAGGGCTGGCTGCTGCTGTAACTGCTAAAAATTGCTGTTCCACTCCCTTGCTTGTATTCCTGGGGAGGGGCTGGTAGCTGAACAGAGCAGTTTCCGAGTATGCACATTCCTATGAGCCAAACCAGCACTGCCCCAGGGGCTGCACACGCTGTAATAGCGATGCCCAAGAGCTGCAGAAATGCCTGTAGCAAAGTGGATGTGCTGCCAGGACTGTATTGCGATGACGTGGCACGTCTTTGGTGTGTAATGAAGCCTTCGCAAACCACCACGTGCAGCAGCTGTGGAATAGTTCTCCTTCCTCATCACACTGCAAGGTCAGGCTGGCTTTTCCCCATCTTTCCTACCAGTCTCTTTTCACACACCTCAAAAAAAGCCATCTCTGCCACCAGATAACAAGCTGAACTGTGTGGCTGAAATGGTAGCTATAACATATATACCATAACGTGTAGTGGTACATTTCATACCTTCCAAGGCTGCTAGAGGTTTCCAGATCCAGGAGCTTCTGATACCCAAAGGAGATAAATGTTGAGGGTGATGGTCGTCAGTTTGATGTAATTGCACTAAATACCCTATCTCTTTCCTTCCTCCCTTAAAAGCAAAGCGAAATAAACACTTGTAGAGCATTACACTGAAATGGTTCTGAGTTTTCAGATGAAAACACTTAGATGTTAGAAAAATTAGCATCTCCCTTTAGAGCAATAATCTTGACCTATTTGCATTACAGTCCTAGGATGAGTTTTTTTTTCCCCTGCATCATCCTGTTCTTTTAGCACTCATGTTGCATTTTGTAGATCACTATCCTCTGAAAGACCTGTCCCCAGCAAATTTAGACATTAGCATTCTGATAATGTATGCATGTGTAATATAAGTGCAGCTTGAAAGTCTGTGCACCGTAGTATTGTATTACCTTGCTATGAAAACTTAACTTCATGCTACCCCATGAGCAGTGCAGCCCTGAGGTGGGTGCAGTGGTGGGTTCAGGAAGCAGCTTCTCTTACTCTGGCATCATGGATGTAAATTAGGTGGAACTGGTGTGTGCTTGAACATATTGGGTTAAAAACTGGCTTGGCTTAACCATGGGTCACACAGGGAAGTGTTTTTGCAATTCCCCTGTGAATAGGTGGTTCCCTCTCCCCTTTTTGTAAGGGAGTTGAGATCAGGCAGTCCCCACCATCTGTGGGCTTTGGATCTCCATATGTAAGGGCTTTTCCTTTCTCAAAACCAGCACGCAGGGGCAACTAGGGACACAGCTGCATGACTTTGATCTGCCAAGGCTAGGAAAACATATTTGCACTAAGGGAAGAGGTAAGGTGGCGGTGAGGGCGAAGCACCATGCTGAGCGTTGGAGTAACATTTTTAAATAGGTATTCCTCTTTCATGCAGTGCTGTGCCTTCAAAGACAGGAGGATGTTAAAGCAGACTTTGAGTCTTTGGGAACTGTGTTTCTTGGTCAATTCATGCAGCGTGGGCAGATTTCAGGCTGTGAAAAATGGGCAAGAGAGGGTTTTGCTGAGAGCAGACTTTGACTTGTATTTGCATCAGATCTTTGGCAATGAGTGCTACGTTTCTGCTTCCTTTTTAGAAAGAATTGGTTGCCTTGAGCTTTTTCTTGTCTGTGTCAGTACTCTGGTATTGATGGCAAGTGTGGAAATCCAAGCCTTTTGGGAGTGCTGAGGCAGTTCAGGAGCAGCAAATCACTCGTCAGGAGGAGAGGTTGCCAGATGTTGGTGTGGGCTTTGGCATTCACTAAATGAGACACACTCAGTTTGTGGCAGTCTGCAAACATAATACAGTCACTTAGAAGCTGGTGTTAGACTCTTGTGCAGCGGACTGCGTTTTTCCTGTGGGTAACTTGAAGATGCCATAGAGACATCTTAAGTTTCAGGCAGACTTGATGTCCTGGTCTTTCCCTAGTGAATAAGAGAAAATAAGTGTTCAGTATGAAATTCCAGAACACAGGACAGGAAATAGCTACTCCATTTTATTCCGCTTTTTGAAGCTGATCCCACTAAATGCCCTGAGGGCATTTGCTGGGCCTTTTCCTGTCAGATACAATCTTCCGTCTGCTCCAACCCTGCTATGTTGTGATGGTTGAATTGGAAAGAGATATTTGGTGATGGCTCCCCTTCTCCTATTGTAGTCTCTCCTAAAAAAAAAAATAAATCTTAGCCTCTTCCCTTTTTGGCCCATAAATGAGCACACTGGCTGTGCCTTGAATGTGAGTGAGGGTCATCATGTATCCAGAAGTAAAGCCAATGAGTTTCCTCCTTCTCTCCCTTCAGGCAAGGAAAGTGACAGTGAAGACTTCTTAAATTCAGGGTCCATTTCCACAGTTTTATTGGACACGCCAAGTCTGACTGACGCAGAGAAAAGCCCATCTCCAACCCCAGTAACAGCATCTCCAATCCACGATGAGTTTAACATGAATATTCAAGAAGAGGTATCTTTTTTCTTCCTCATTTAATGCTGTCACTCTGTGAAAACATTGCTTGTGCTGGATTCATATCGCAGATGCCAAAACTCAAGTTTCTGAAAAGACTTTTTTCTGGGTTGCACAGTTTTTAGTAATGTTGTGTATCCTTTTGGAGAATGTGATTTTTTTTATTTTTTTATTTTTTTTTTTGTGAAAGCTGCCAAGGAGGTTCATTTGAGTTCAGTGAAATTTATTTTTTGTAATGATCAGATGGGATCAGGAGACAGCAAATAGCTGTATTTGTCATGAGAATGGGTCTAAACTACTTTTCCTATCAAAAATAAAAATTGCTTTTCATATCAAACATAGCTGTTTTAGGAGCTGCATTTATGTTGTCAGTAACTTGAAGTAAACATGTTGAGACTTATTTAATATAACCTGTCATATTTAAAAGAATGCAGTCATAATTGCATCCGTTCACTTAAAAGATAAGTAGGCTGTGGTCCAGTCTCTGATGTTTACAATCACATTTTCAGTAGTAAAACTATAGATCTCTTCTCTTAAAGCTTTGAGTCAGAGCAGAGTCTTGACTTACTTAACTAAACAACATGAACACACTATGAAGAAAACTAAATTAAATTGGATTTTAGCAGCTTTTTGGTATTCTCTTGGTGGCTGAGGACAGGAGTAAACCTGAAAAGTGAACTGCCCTTCCTGGGGTCTGTGATAGAGACAGATTTAGCAGGCAGCTTTGAGATACTTGTGAGACTTTTTTTTTTCTTAGCTTATCTGCAGTAATTCATGTTATATCTTCAGTGCCATCTTTGAAGTAGTAAACCACTGTACTACAGTAGAAAGAAAGACAAAACATATATTTTCAAAATCTTTTTTTAGATCTTCCTTTTCATAGTTTGTTACTCTTCTTTTCATTTTTGACTACTTAATTTCAGCTCAAAACAGTGTAATGCATATTATTCCTTCTTTTTAGAATTCCTTACAGATCCACACCAGTATTTTACAGATTTCAATCCCTTCTTTTTCATCAACATCCAAGAGCTCAGAAACTGTTGCAGAGAAAGTGAAAACACAGTCTAGGCCAGATCCTGCAAGTGAAATGAGGTATTATTGTTTCCATGTATTTTTCAATTGTAAATCTGATATTCTGTGATGTTTAATGAGAGTAATAGTCTGTCAGTTGCTATATTGTCAAGTCATTAAGTCAGTTAAACAAGGCCAGCACGCACTTGACTAGCTGTAGTAAACTAAGCGTATCTTCGGAAACTGCGTCAATTAAATCTTTTTCAGTGAGCAAGCATTGGTTTGGTTGCTGTTGCTTGTAGCAGCACTCATACTCTATACCAGCTGCTTCACAAGAAGTGAACAGAAGGAGAGAAAAACTGATCTAATGTAATGAAGGACACAGAATCATTATTTTTGTCTAGGTTTACATCTTCTAGGTCTGGCTAAGATAGTGTTGGCTGTGCTAGCACAAATGCATTCCTTATGGTTTGCATTCAGACATTTTCCACAGTTGCTAAAGATTAGTGTGGGGCGCAGCCAAAACTGCAACAGAAGGACTGTCCGGCTCTAATCTTGAGCTGTTAGTGGAGTCCTAGAAGGAAACCCAAGAGGTGTCTCAGAAGATTGGAGAATGGGATACTCTTCTTGCCATTCTTTGACGTGATGAAACGTGAAGGTGCTTTTATGAGAACCCTGACTGAGATTTTTGAAAGACAGACAAAATGTGTAGGCACAGAGTCCCAGGGAAGCCAGGGTGGGGATACGTGGCTGTGGCTGAGCTGTGGCACCCAGGAGCCCCCATGCTTGAACCCAGTCACAGCCTCCTGAGTGAGAAGTGGATGTCAGCTTCCTCCATCGTTTCTAAGCCTACACTCTCCTTGCCCTGATGAGGAAGCCTGGCCTCTGCAGATCTGAACTGGCACTGTGGGGAGTACTGCAAAGCATACCAGCCTCGCAGCTAGGCAAAGGCTGTGCTAGGGTTTTTTTTCTTCTGGGTCCACATCCCTGGCTTTATCTAAATGAGTATCAAATACTAAGAATCCAGAGGTAAGGAAATCCTGTTGTCTTAAAGCCATCATTGATTTCAATGTGAAAAATCACTGCAAGCGGAAGTTGATGTGTGATTTTTTTCCAGTTGAGGAAAGCATCCTATCCAGTAGCTCAGCTTTGTGTGGTTCCCACTGTGCTGTGCCTCATGCAGCTCTTGCCATCACCAGCAGGGATTTCATCTTTGTTCCATCTTGGAAAAAAACAAGGCACTAACCTGCAATAAAATGCCCCACTCTGTGGGTGACTCACAGGCAGCTGGTGACCTCTACTACATGGTGCTGCTGCAGACCCTGCACATGCTGTAACCTCTGCATTTGTTTGAGCTGAATAGTGCAGTATTGTCATCAACTCACAGTAAGAGTTGTCTTTCCTGAGGCTCCTGAACTTACCTTTGTGCTTTATCTTTTAAAAGACTTGCCACTATAGAGGGGAGAATTTGCCATCTGTTAGTACTATAAGCAGGCTGAGGTGATAGGACTTCTGTATCAGCAAGGTATTTGAATGAGATCCCCAAATGTTTTACTTCTTTCCTATCTCTTTTGTTTTTACAGTGAAGGAAGATCAACAGGATCCTCCCCAGAAACTCAGCTGTGTGATAGTCCAGTGTAAGTATCGGAATCAAAAATGTTTATATGGAAACATATGTGATTGTCAACTTGAAGCCCCCCCACCCATGCAACCCCCGTATTTTACATACACAGGTAAATACGTCAACTAATTCTATCCAAGGTGATATTTCGTGGTGGTAGTTTTCTGCCCATGTCCTATGTTTTTGTGATCATTATTTTCCAAGGCTTTATCTGTGCACACGTGCAGTTAATTTCTTTCACATTGTGAAGCATCTCTCACCAGGTTTTAGACTGTCAATATACTCTGAAATGTACGGTTTTCTGTAGTGTGTGCACATGATTTGATTTTTTCATTTGATAGTGACGGTTGACTACAATGAGAAAATAATTTTAACTTCTGCCATATAGGGAAATCAGTGGGGCTATTTATGAATGTGAAGTTGAGTCAAAACGATTTGTTAGTAAGGAGCCTAAGTCAACAGGGCTTGTCTGGTATACAGCATGAAGCTCAGTGGCTATTTTTGTTTTGAGTGACTTAGTGCCATGAGAATACTTTCAAAGGCAAATTCTATTCCTCTTATGTTGGTATAAAGATAGATAACTTTGTAAAATTAAGTGGTTATTCTTAATTTATACCTGGTTGTGGGGAAAAAATGTAATGGTAACTTTGCTTTCAACCAGACTTAAGTATTCTAGATTGTAAATTCCCCCGGAAGTTGTGGAATATCTGGTCTGAAATGAAAAATGGAACTGAAAATAAAATATTAAAACACACATGCCTGACTTAATAGGCTTGGCTTCTTTAGGGATTAAATTAGTCAGAAGCCTGTTGCTAAAAATACTGTTTTTCATAGCTTTTGTTTATATCATTTATTGCGTGTGTAACTTCTGCTTGTGCTTCTGAAAATGTGACATTAAATAAGAAGCCAAAATTACCTAGAGGTAGGCATCATGTCACTGACACAGCAGTAATTACGATGTGGAGGTTCTTACAGTATCTCATCAAGTTGTGTGGGCTCTGATTAGTGCATTGATTGCCTTACTTCAGAATGTCTTTGATTTTAGTATATCTCATCGTGTATTGTAATGATTTATTTAAAGCTGATTTCTGAGAGTTGCTAAGATTTAACTTGGAACATTTAATTCCAGTAACTTGGCATGGTTTTTATGTCCTCGTTTCAGAACTTCTTCACTGCAGAAGTCCAGCAGTCTGAGCAGTTTGAGGAAAGAGACATCTGAAGTGGTTGGTTTGGGCTCTTGCTTCCTCCCATCCCCTTAGAAGTAGGGGTGATATCTCTGTCCTGGCAGGGATCTTGTGTACACCCTGTTGTTCCTTCTGAGAAATTCTGAGTCAGAGTAGGGCTCCTCACATCATGTGTTAGCAGTGGTCACACACATGTGACATCTTCCAGATTTCATTGAAGGATAAAATATGTCCTTGAAAATACAGGGGCTTGGGTTTTTGGGTTTTGTTCTTTGTTTGGTTTTTTGCATGAGGCATTTACCCAAGACTCATGTTGTGGTTTTCCTCACATAATGATGAAGTTGGTATGCTTTTCTGATTTAAGACGAGACCAAAATAAGTCCCACTACCACTTTCTTCCTGTGTTTAAGGTAATCATTTTGCAAGGCCATGTAATTAGTACATCATATAGTACAGTATAGGGTGACTATATGTTTTAGGCAGTCAGGAGCAAAATACTGAGCCTTTGTTTGTCTGGTGATAGCTTCAGTTTAGGTCTCTTTAGAGATGACCAAAAGCAGCTAGCCTCTAACAATGTCGTCAAATCAGGGTAATTGCCCTGCTCTGTTTTGACAGCTTAAACTGCTAAAATCTCCCGAGCTCTCTGATACCCAAGCTGCTGAGTTGTGCTTTACAGCTCAGGAGGGATGTTAGCAGGAATGAAAACATAACCAGGACTGGACAATGAAAGCTAGAGTTCATGTGTTAGAGTTTGTTTGGACAGCCAAGGAGTGGAGGCTGTGGATGTTTTATCTGCTTGGCTTCTACTCTGTCTGATTCCTGCTTTTGGTCCCCTCAGCCAGCTATGCCCATCAGTGTCTTAACAGACTGCATGTGGCTAATGATGTACACAGCTAGTCCTTTGCAAAGTAAACCGAAGCAACTGTATTTTCATGTCAGCTCACTGACCTCAAAGAAAGCAAGAATTTGTGTGAAATACAGCTCTGAAGTGATTTATTTTGGGGTAAAAATAGGCAGATAAGGGTATTTCAGAGTTCAATTCAGGATAACCCTAATGAATTGAATACTAGCTATAAGCCATGATTTTTTAAATGTCTTAATCTTTCCCAAACAGGACAGAGACCCTGCACAGAAGCCAACAGAGGTAACGTGTGTGTGCGCGCTCATGCATGTACGTGCAGAAACACAGTGAGTGGGGTGTCAGAAGGCTCAGTTGTGTGAAATTGTGGCTTGCAGTTCCAGAGGGGGAACAGCAGACCTGCAGACAAGATAGTGAGGAGTATGTGATGGTTGTCACCATCGCTTCAGTGTCAGGCTTATAGTGTCTCACACGTTCTTGTCTTCTCACACATGGATTATCTTTCAGTCTGGTTGAGCATAAGGTTGTCATCTAAGCTGAGGTTTCCTGCGCATATTCTATCACCAGATAATTAGCAAAGCTAACCATTAAGTATTTTACTGACTATGTAATTACCTTTGATTAGTGTCTATTTAAAAACCTTTGGCTTTTCAAATTGTTTTCTGTGAGTAGCAACTGTGTTCCCAAAGATGCTGTCATGCCAGAACAATTTTGCCGTGGTACTGTATGGCCAGAGTTTGCATGCAACAATTACTACCTATAGGAAGACCTGAGCAGAAGCAACAGACCTCAGATACCACTCATTAGGATAATGCTGTATCCATTCAGCAGAAGCCAAAGGATCATATTTAAATTGTGAATGGGTTTGCTTTTTCCTTTAAAGAGACAGTGAAACAACTGGCAAGGTTAAAACTACTGCTTTGAATCTGTTAACTGGTATGTCTGATGTCTGTCCTGGCACTTATATTCCTTGCTCGATACTTAATTTATTCTCAGCTTTGTCAGTGGACATAGTCAATTAATCCATTAATTCTGAAATTGCAGAGCAGTGATAGACAAAAGGGGCTGTCTGGTGCTTGGCAGAGAACCAATATGCTGTCCCTCATTGCTTCCCACTGCCCTTACAGCTACCAGTGGGGGAAACAGTATACCTGGATAGCTGGAAAAGTTCAAAACCCTCCAGGACTATATTTTTGCCTTTTCTGTAATTGTAAGCTAGACTTTTAGAAACTGAGAAACATCTGCTGAGAGAAGATAAGTTACTCTCGGAAGGTAGTGAGAGTAGTCCTGGGTCCTGAATGTGTTCAAATTAAGCTCTCTATGTTTTCTTCTATAGCTTTTATTTTCCTCTGTGTATGTTTTCCTCTATGGCTTTTGTATTCTGTTTCTCTTGTAGTAATGAATGAGAGCGACTCTCCTGATTTTCTGTCAGCGGTCACTTTGCAGTCTCTCTCAAAAGGCTTTTTGCAATTCCCTGATATTGAATCTTTATTTCCCTAACATGAACAGGTTAAACCTCCTGTGGAAGGTAATAATTTCGCAACCCTCCCTCCGAAGTCTCCTTCTCATGGTATCACGGGCGACGAGGATAGTTTTGGTACCCGTAAAGCCAGGTCTTCATTTGGACGAGGATTTTTCAAGATAAAAAATAACAAGAGGACTGCTAGTGCCCCAAATCTGGGTAGGTAACGTGCACCTGCATGCAGATTCTGTGTCTTTTGAACAGAGGTCTTATCAATGGCTGTAGCTGTCTGAAGAACCAGGAAGGCCGGCCTTAGTCTCACTGTGACTTGGCAGCACTTTTCTCTAGTAGAATGTTTGGAAAATAGCAAACAGCAACAAGAAGGAAAAAAACCTCACAAACAACTAAACCTCACTAATGTAATGAAGTATTTGATCTGTTTAAACGTCTGCTGTGATATTTCCCCATGAACCTTGTAGTGAATTGCTGCTGTTTTGAAATGCTAGCTGTCTGGCAGTACTTCATGCATGGAATTTGTGGGCTTTTTTTTTTGTCCTGGCTCCATCCTTTGTTTATCTTTCATAAGATTTTCAGATGTACAGAAATGAGGCAGCAGCACTCAAGTCATCGTCTTTATTTTATGTGTATTTAAGCAGCCTTACAAAAGAGATAGTGACAACAGGAACAAGATTCACAAGTTATTCAAGCTCACGTTTATTTTTGGGCCTGTGATGAAGGGGGGGGTTGTTTTGGTACTGTCATTTGATGACATTTGCATATGACAAATAAATAAACAAAATGTTCTGCTTAATGCAGAAGTCGCTGTTGCCACCAACTGAAATCCTGCTTGTGTTCACTGCTCTGCTGTGGTAGTCTTTCCACTGTTCCAGTTCAAGCACCAAGTCTCTGCATCAGATCTACTGCCATTTATCTGAAGTTTTTGGCTTTCTCTTGCACGAGGTTTAGGAATTTAGCTCTGTCTTTCAGAAGCCTGAAGGGGGAAATAGCTTCTGCTTTGTTGAGGAGAAGAGTCTTCCGTTCCTACTTACTCAAGGACAGTTTTAGACTTTTGTTCAAAAGAAATAACATGCATACACATTTATTATACATGACTCATACTTTCCTGTGACATGTAGCATGGGAACTTGCTAGCTTATTTGGGATAGATGTACAATTACTGCTTCTGTTTGTTTCATCTGTGCTTTTGTGTAATCATTTGTTTAATCCTGAAATTAATTTGTCTGACAAAGTGGAGTACTTGTGGCTGTCGTAAAGGATTGGAAGATGGGCCATCTAGATCAGGGTCCTGTGACTTTGTGTAAGTTATTTATGTTATCCAGCTTTCAGTGCTTCCATCTGTAAAATTGGTGTCTGGATACTTTGCCACCTCACAGGAGCCTGCATGGATCACCTGCACAATGTGTTGTGGAGCAAGTGACGTCCCCGCACTGAAGAGACTGCGGGGCTCTTCTACCCTCTCTACCACAGAGCTCTGCTACATTTCTTTTTTTGTGATAGGGAGGGTTAACAGTGAATTGGTAATCCTAATCTCTGTGTGAATTCAGTGTTGCGTGTAGCACATGTGTCTTGTGTACCTCCCTCCTTTTGTCTTGTATTTTGCCGATGTAATTTTTGAGCTGTGTTTTACCTTGTCCCTCTGCGTATTCTCTCCCCTTGTGCTGCGTGTGGTTATGTGCGTTGTTTGGATATCTGAAGATCGCAGTCGAAGTGCAAGTGCACCTACTTTAGGTATAGTAATCCTGCATGTCTGCCTGTACCAGCGCTGTGTTGTATCTGCTGCTAACAGCTGGTTATGGCCACACACTTTTAAAACAAGAACTAGACACCAGAGCTCTGCATCGGAATTCTTGTCCACCACTAAAAGGAGTTTTCATGTAACACCTGCCATCTGCTAAAAGTCAGCTGCGCCATTTCTCGGTAACCACTACTAATGAGAGATTGCGGGTTCATTTGCAGAGATCTTTGGTGTAACTTTGAGCACAAAGTTACCCACAGACCCAGGTAGCAGGTGAGAATCAGGGGTGTTTGAATACCTGAGGCACCTTTGTGCTGTTGTCTGTCCTGGAACCCCTAGAAAGGTGTAGAGGGTGGTGAAGAGGGAATGAGGTAAATGTCCTAGGCATTCACTTAGGGAAGTTCTGGAGGGAAGGATATGTAATTCCTCTTCTAAGAAGTAGTTATATTTATTATGTAATAAACAAATGAGAAATAATTGGGGCAGATGGGGATGGAGATATTCGTGTGCTAAAAACCAGTCTTGTGGTGTAAGTGTTCCCTGAGTGGTTCTGACAGGCCCAAGTGAGACCTGCAGGGTCCTGCCTTAGCAAGCGGAGATGTGTCAGTCAGGGTTGGGGTACAGCTGCCCGCCCGGTGTGCCTCTTGCTGACAAGACCAAGTGCTCTGGGCCGTCTCAGGTTCTGCTGTAGCCCCTTAAAGGTCGGGGTTGTGTTAGTGCCTGAAAGGGAATGGGGTACAAGAAGCAAATGTTGCAATACCCGCAAATCTCTGCTACTAATGCACCCAACCTCGTCCTGGTATTCTCTCACTAGAGTGCTGTTTAAATGCATTTATGATAAGCTAGCAATTTTTCTTACACAAGTAAAGCAGAAACCACAAATGCAAAAGCCTGGTTCGACATTAGTGCTGTCTCTCACCAGCAGGATCCCTGTATTCAGTAGTGGTCAGAGTGCCAAGAAATTATCTTTTATGTGACCTTGTTGCTTCACTGCAAGGTTTAACATCTAAAGCACTGGTGGGAAGTGGGACATCTTCAAATGTATTCTGGCTGAGTCATCTAGACTTTGCCCAGCAGAAAGATATGCTGGCAAAGCCTGCAGTTTGTTGCTGTTCATGGCACATTGTGCCCACCTCAGCACTAACTCTGTGGCCTGAGACCATGTGTCCCAGCAATATATGCTCTACCTTGATTCACGTAACTTGTTTGGTTTTCTCCTGGAAGTCCGAGAGTCCCTTCCAAAACCAAATGATGGTCATCTAATTACACAGCCATGTTAAAAGATGGTAAAAGTGGTTACAGGCCTGACTGTCGGCCCGCTGCAGGCTGCTTTGCCATGGCTGCTTCATCTGAACAGGCTCGTGCTGTCACTGTTCCCCAGCAAGTGATGTAAACTCCACGGGGTGATTTTATTCAGCTGTCTGGCACTTGCTGGCACATCTCTGCTTACGTAGCCTAGCAGATACTGCAATTCTTGTAGTTTTCTTTTTAAACGATCTTAAAATTGTTTTCTTCTTTGTTAGTTTAGCTTTTACTAAACTATCTTGTGACAACTTCACTTTTAGGAACAGGAGCCCTCAGGTTTGTTATCATAGTAATAAACACAGAGCAAAGTTTTAATGCTATTAGGGTGGGTGTGTAGGGTCACTAATCAGAGGTGCTTTGTGCATCCCACTATAGAGAAGATCTAGCTCAGACAGAGCCTAAGCTCCCTGGCGTTTCTCTGCAGAGGAACAAATTATTTCTCAAATTGCAGAAGTGAGGGGAAAAGGGCCTTCCTGCTCCTGGGGCAGAAGGAGTTATTTGTTGCTGGAATTTTCTAGATGGGGAACTTAGGGGATACTTCAAGTTATTAGGAAAGATGCCTGCAGGGAAATTATTTATTTTTCCGTGCTTTGGAGACTCCTGGTTTGGTCCCCTTCCGCACCTAATTGTTTCTAGGCATCGGCATGCCTCAGCTCTGTCTGTGAAAGGACTGTGGGAGCACTCGCCGAGGAAAAGTAAACTTAGGATTTAATTCATGGATTGATTCACAAGGTGGATGCAAGGCGTTTAACTGGTGCAAAGCATTGCCTTGGAGTGTTCCCAGTCTGGCCAGGAGGAACACATGTTGTTTCTCCTGGATTTTCCCAGCCCTCTTTGTCCCATTTTCTTAACATGGTGGCTCTCAATTTTAGCAAGAGTTGTTCCCGAGTTCAGGAGTATGTCTGTACATCCTGTGCAAGCAAGTTTTGACGGGGCTTTTCGTTTCTAATAGCTGAAACGGAGAAGGGATCTGCAGATCACTTGGATCTGGCTGGCTTGCCCCCTCGCCCAAAAGAAACAGATAGTCTACAGATGACTCCACCTTCTCCAGATTCCAAGAAAAAGGCCAGAGGGATCAAGAAGTTATTTGGAAGGTAAGTAAAAGATGAGAAATTACTGTTGTCCAGAGCTGGGGCTTGCACGGGGGTTTGCTGGGAGCACATCTTCCCTTTTTTCCCCTCCAACCTGTGGCTCCGTGGTTTGCTGTCTCAAGGGCAGCAGCCAGTGTTCTATTTGAGTGAGCTACCAGCAGATTGATGAGCGGTGGAGGAAGAGCTACAAACCCCACAGGAGATCTTACCTATATTGATTGCAGTAGTAGAAGCATGCCTTTTCCTCGGTCAGATGCAAATCTGCTTTCTTCCTTTAAACTAGACTTAAAAGAAGTCAGTCTACCACCTTCAACCCAGATGACATGTCCGAGACAGAGTTCAAGAGAGGAGGGACAAGAGCAACGGCGGGGCCGCGACTGGGCTGGTCTCGAGACCTGGGGCAGTCTCACAAGTAAGATGAGTGGTGCAAGGTGTGCTCTTGTTTGCCTTCTTGGCAGCTCCAGTCAAGCATGGGGTCCAAAGTGTGGTGCCAAAATGAAATGTCCCCTCTCCTGGGAAATGGAAACAGTCAGATCCAGGCCGTTTCCTCCTTTAAGAGATGGTCTTTGCAGGGTTGAGGTTGGTTGGGTGGTGAGGTCCTGCTGCAAGTGGAGCCTTCCTTGCGTGTGGCTCCACAGAAGTGCAGCTGTGGGGCTGTGTGAAACAGGACGTGAGCCCTCATGTGGCAATGACAGATGTTCCTCTGGTGTGTTTCCTGCTGCACCTCTGGGGATTAAAGGTTCAAGTAAAACATTATGGTCTGTCTTCAGAGTTTTAGCCACCCTAGGCAGCAGAGGTGGTTGTTCCAGTAGTATTAACAGACTGTGTTTATTGTGATAGTGGCAGGAGATCAGCACTAATCAGCACTTCGTGGTGCTAACGGGTCAGAAGAAGAGACGCCCTTTTCCTCTTGCAGCTCACCTAACAGCCAACAGCGATGCCCGTTCTTCCCCAGAGATTGTCCCAGCTCCCACAAAATACTCATTAATTAGGCTTATGTTTTTGTTTTATCATTATGTATGAGAACAGAAGATCTGAGGTACAGGATTTAATCAGTCTTTTTTGATAAAAACTTCCATAGTGAGCTGGACATGCCATTCGCAAAGTGGACGAAGGAGCAGGTTTGCAACTGGCTTCAGGACCAAGGGCTGGGCTCTTACATGAGTAATGGCAAACACTGGATACTGTCTGGGCAAACGCTTCTGCAGGCTTCTCAGCAGGATCTGGAAAAGGTGAGAAATACTGGAAACACTGCTTTCAATGAGACATACAAAACATTGCTGTTATTGTGCATGTAAATCATGTCTGTAAGGTACATCCAGTAAAAAAAAAAGTATAATAAAAAAAAAATTTTTTTAAATTTTGTTGTCTGCATTGATACCAAATCTGTTTCTTTTTAGTTGAAGTTTTGTAGAAATGTAATGCTCTGTAATGAAACTAATAATTACAAATACATTATTTAACTTCATTATCCATGGACATAGCAATCAGCTATGCCACTTTAAAAATAGCACACAACAGTGCCTCATTATCATATGGGTTTGTAGATTAATTAGCACTTGTGTGTGGTACAGTGTATGGTAATGTAAAACACTGCTGTTTTGGTCTGACTGTATTTTCTGCCCATTTTACACAAAGAGGAATGAGGATTTGCTATACATAAGAGTGATCAATCCTTTTGTCTCAAATTGTTTTCATGTTGCTTTCTAAAACTAAAAACATTTTAAAAGATGATTCAATCTGTACTTTGAGTCCACAGTCTTTTGCTAACACTTGAATTTTCAGCTTTTGAAAATTACTATCCTCACCAAATAGTAACCCTGTTTTCTCAGTGAGGGAGTGAGCTAATTCAAGTTTGCAGTTACACTACAACCAGAATAAGTAAAATGTGATATGGACGTAGTGGCTAGTAATAATGTTATCAGAGGTAACACTAACTGACAAGGACTGGTGAAAGTGTATATGGGATTGAAGAGATCCCAGAATGGCTGCATATGCAGCTAAACTGAGAAAGGTGTTATGCATTTGGAAGTATTAATACATTTCAGTAATTCCTAGGACCTTCATATGTTCTTAACTAAATAATTCATTTAACCTTACCTGCCTAAGTGGGAGGAAAGGAAGTAATCCCATCTAGTCCTTTTCTGAATGCTAACATGTTTTATATTGTTGGGCTTTTTTAACATGGCATGAGAATACTGTGGCTGACATTTTCATACAGTTTGGAATCCACTACATTTTGAAGTTAATCCATCACAGTGAGCAAGTCTTTCCATAGTGCTGAACAAGTGCTAAAATGATGCTGATATTCAGAAAATACAGAATACACCTGCCAGGTCACCAGCAAGTGCTGTGTACAGTGTGACTCTCTGAAACCATATGGAATTGAAGAGAAGGAGAAATAAAATACAGTATTGTCTCTAGCTTTGCTGCTTTCCTTACTTTCACAGGAGCTTGGAATAAAGCACCCATTGCATCGGAAGAAGCTACAGCTTGCTCTGCAGGCACTTGGGTCTGAAGAGGAAAACAATCATGGAAAACTGGATTACCACTGGGTTACCAGTAAGATTTTATTACATCCTGAAGCAGCAACTTTTGATAGGGTCGCCTAATCATGGCTAATATGGGGCTCAAAGAGTAGGAATAAGAGTAACTGGTGCTGGGTGATTTGGCTGCCACACTAATGTGAGTGTCTGCCTCTGCCTTAGGGTGGCTGGATGACATTGGCCTCCCCCAGTATAAGACCCAGTTTGATGAAGGAAAGGTGGACGGTCGAATGCTCCATTACATGAGTGTGGTGAGTAAATGGCTTTTCTTTTCTTTTCCTGACATTTTTTTCATGATCTTTCATGTTTCTCCCCACTTCAGTGCATGCTGGTATACCTCCAGATAGCTTACTGAAGATCAGGTGAGACCAGAGAGACCTGCTTTCACTGTGCCTGTTGTTGTGACTGCATAGATATTAAATTCACTTAACACCCTTCAACCTCTCCATCCACCTTCTGTCTTCCTCCTAATCCCATTGGGTTAATCCACCAGCAACAGCAGCCTTTTTTGCATCCCACAGCACAAGCTGCTGTGCCTTACCACACACCTCCTTTTTTCTTCAGTGAGCAAACCTTCAGTCTGCTTACCTTCACATCCACATTCGTGTGCATGCTTAGGTGAAGAGAACCCAGGCCGTTTCTTTTCAAGAAAATTGCAGTTTTAAGAACCAGCTTGTTTCAAAACAGGTTACATTTAAAAGCTTTTGCGTAATGTCTTTCAAAACGCTTAGCACCAGCATCAGCTCCTCACTTTACTGCTGGTCAGGTGAAGCCAACCCAGCAGGTTTCCTTTTTGTACGTTCTCAGGTAAGATGAGATAAGACCTTTTGTTCTTCTCTTGAGACACAAAGCAAACTGACCATCACCAATGTTATTTCCTTCTGTATGACAAAGAATGTATCAATCACAGTGCTGTTCTCTGATGAGCCATGCCTTGGGCAGAGTAGAAGTAACCTTTTTATGCCACACTTGCATGTATTTTGTATAGTCTTTACATTAGCACCAGCAGGGAGCCTAGGGTTGGTCTAAGTCTCCTCCTGTAAGACAAGTGCAGAGCTGCTGAGGAAGTGCAGCTGCTGCCCAGGACTGACCTTCCTTGACTACCTGGCATGACTCTGCTGTTAAATGGACTTTGGTCAAATGTCCTGCTTATGTAGTGTGCTTTTGTGCTTGTTTTCTTTAGTTTTTTTTAGTTCAGACATTAATATAAAAATAGAAGGTAGTTTCTTTCTTTTGCTGCTCATGTGTCCCTGGCATGTGTGAGGGGAAATTGACAGTCCTGGCCAACCTGCCCTCCTTCCCTTAAATCATAGCGGGTGCCTGTGCAAGGTAGGAGCTACACAGTGATGGTGAGCTGGGGCCAATGAGACTTATGGTGAGCCTCTCTTCAGCCTGGGTATGGTCACCCTTTACATCATTCCGTTGCTTGTCACAAGCATTTTAAAAAGCATTTATCATTTGCAGTTGTGGGAGATCAACCTGACACACCTTCATATTTTTCTTCTTCCCTCTCTTTTCTTCATTCTAACCATACAGAATGCCTCCATTTTCAGGGTAATTTATTGTTTTCAGTTAAATTTTAGCTGGACGTTTGTTGTATTAAAACTTTTGTCAAGATTAAATGCAAATACTAGGTGAATCTAATGCACTGCGTTTGGGAAGCTGTCCAGTCTCTAATCAGATTGCTGAGGATGTGTCATCTCACCCTCTCCCCTCCTCGTTACCCCAAGTTTCTTGTACTAAGCTCTGTACCCTATGTGAAGAACATCACCCAGGAGCAAGTACAGAGCAACACAAGAAGCTTTTCTTTTCGGACAGATGACTTGATGTTAATTTTGCCTCATGTATTAAAATCTTACCCTAGAGTGTTTAAGATGTGCCATTTTAACCCAAGGTCTGAAGCAGTCTCCTCCAGTCAGGTGTTTGTTCCACCAGTAAGCAAGTTTGTTTATTAACTCCCCCTTCCTCTTCAACAGGATGACTTGCTGTCCTTGAAAGTTGTCAGCGTCCTCCACCACCTCAGCATCAAAAGAGCCATTCAAGTTTTGAGAATAAATAACTTCGAGCCAAACTGTCTGCGCAGGAGGCCGTCTGATGAGGTACTGCTTTAAGATGAAACTCGGAAGAGGAATGTTACAGGGTTTTTCCCTGGTGTTTCTGATTATTCCTGCTCTTCCCTCTTCTTCTTCCTATTTCATTCTGTTTCATTTTTTGTTTCCTTTTTCTTATGTTGTTCTTTGCTCTGCCATTACTACTTGAAACATCACTTTCCCTCCTCCACCTGTCATGGCCCCAGACTAAAGTCCCCTTGCCAGATCTCCTGCCTCTCTTCCTAGCCAACAGCTGACTGTTTTGGTTTAGTCTCTCATGTGCTGTCTGGAACATAAATCTTCTTGAACTCAGCCCACTGCTGCCATGAGTCTCGTGTAACTCTCTGGAAAATAGATGACTGTGTCAAAATTTACTGTGTAAAAGGAGTTTGGCCTTGTTACCAGATGAGAGACTGCAATCAGTTTGTTTTGGAAGCAGGATATGCTGGATGGGGCAGTGAATGATGAAGCAACTCAGGCTCTTGGATTTAGATCCACAGTGTATATCTGCAAGAAAAGCACAGTGGCTCATGGAGCTAGATAGATTTTCAGTTATACTGGTAGAAATTGCAAGTAGTCTTAGTGCATAGCAGGATAACCAAAAGGCACGAGGCATAATGCAGACCTGCCCACTGTTCAGACTCGTCTCCATGCTGGTATTGCTGCAAGATAGCAATCCAAAAAGGGGGGGTTTTTCTCAAGTGCGAAGTGAGCTTGCATTCATTAAGGGCAGAGGAGGTTTGTTTCAGTAAGACTGGGACTGGGACAGCTGAGTTGGGAATTCTCCTTAACCTCCTGTTCCTCCTGTTCCCAGAATAACGTGACACCTTCTGAGGTCACCCAGTGGACCAATCATCGTGTCATGGAGTGGTTACGCTCCGTCGATCTGGCAGAATATGCTCCTAATCTGCGGGGGAGCGGCGTGCATGGGGGCCTGATGGTAAGGCTTTAGTCTGGCTTATACCATTTTATTAAAAAAAACCAACGTGGCTGAGAATCACTAGAGCAAAGTTCTGACATTATCTTTGCTGTACACACCTCATCTTCTTAGTCTGATTAATAATAAACCCCTATCAAAATGTATTGCCCTATAGTTTAAAGGACATTAATGTCTTGGACAGAATTACTGTGGGCAGCAATGGATTTGATTATCAGTATTCCACTCAATTTACTTTAGGTATGGCATTCTCCACTTCCTGTTCTATCATGCTGTACGCTGCTATCATGCTGTTAAACAGCGACTGTCTTCCTTCCTAGACCTGGATATATTTTTATTTTGTGAGGAAGGCTTGTTACTTTTGTAAAATTTGTGATTTCAGTGTCAAACCAGGATTGTTTTTAATTGCTCTACCATCAGATAGTCCAAGCAAGAGACTTCTACTTGCAGAAGTTTGTTGTGGTGGTTAAGAGATATATCCCTGCTCTCAAAACATTTTATGTCCATTTTTTTCCATCATTCCTCTGGCTACATTTTCTAGAATTAAAGAGAACAATGGGTAAATATTTTGTGGCAGCTTCACACATTCCATGAGTTAAGAGTGGATTTATCTGTTCCTTTCTTCTTGCCTGCAAATTTGTTTCTATTTGTAACTCGAGAAGGAAAGCCTGCAGGTAGTGTTTAATGAATCCTTTAACTAGTTAACTCTCTTTTCTCCCTCTTTGTTGCGTATTTCCTCTAAAATACAAACAAAAACCCCAAAGCAACTTAGGAAGTGACTGAGATAGGTTTGCCTGTTGAGGCCTCATCAGACAGTACTGGCTTCAGCTGGGTTCTCTGTGGTTTGATTAATAGGTTTTGGAGCCTCGATTCAATGTAGAAACCATGGCACAGTTGCTGAACATCCCACCAAACAAGACGCTACTGAGACGGCACTTGGCGACTCATTTCAACCTCCTCATTGGGCAGGAGGCCCAGCAGCAGAAACGCGAAGCCATGGAGTCCCCAGACTATGTCCTCTTAACAGCAACTGCCAAAGTAAAGGTAGGTCGCTTGTTCTGGGTCAGTGCATGAGCTTCCAGGCAGACATTCAGGTCTCCAGTGTGCTTGTTTTACCTATAATTGAAGGGCAGTTCGGAAAGGTGTGAGAAAAGGGGCTGCCTGCTAATGTAAGAAACACAGGAGCTGGACTCAGCAGATCTGGGTTTGACACTTGTGTCTACCATGCACGCATCATGTCTCAGCCTCTCATATGTGCAGACAAGAGGTAGCGCTCCTGTGTTGTCCTTCTGTCTGTACTATAAGAAGTTTGGGATGGAGGCTGTCTCTTCCTGTTTATATGCTCATCGTTTAATGCAGTGGGACTGTGATCTCATTTGGGATCCTTTAAATGGTAGTGTCTTAATAATGGTGGACTAAGTGGACACATTCTTTTGGATGTAACTGTTGTGAAATACAGCTCTTCAGATGATCTTTGTTAGAAGAGCAGTGGGGTTTTGACCCTTCCTCATCTTTTTACATTGAACACCAAATGCAAGAGTCAGAGATCTGTTAATTCTTTGCTGACTCCCTAACTTCTTGTCAATCTTCTCTTCACTTGTCAGCCAAAGAAACTTGCCTTCAGCAATTTTGGGAGCCTGAGGAAGAAGAAGCAAGATGATGTGGAGGAGTATGTGTGTCCTATGGAGCTGGGACGGGCGTCTGGAAGTGGATCGAAGAAGGGTTTTAAGTCTGGCCTGGATATGCGAGTGTATGACGACGATGATTTGGACAGGCTGGAGCAGGTAAGGCAGTTCTAGCAGTTTGGAGCCCTTGACTGTGCTGTCAGGTTTGGTGGAAATCCTTCCTTTTCCCAGGGAAACCTTCCCTTGGCTTTGGCCTGTGAAGGTCCTGACTTCTGGCAGTCCCGCAGCGTTACTAACAAATGCATTTCTCAGGCCAAGAAGGTTCAAGCTGTGAATGCTGTGCCTTTAGGACCTACTCTGGCATAACTGTCCTTTCCTCTCCTAACAGAGCACGCACCTCCTTTGCTCTGACTATGCATGGTGTTATCAAGCAGTATATGCTGCACTTAATTGCCACTCTGTCATTGCATGTGATGGATTTATTATTCATTATCTGTTTTTTTGTAGATGGAAGATTCAGAAGGGACAGTGAGGCAAATAGGAGCGTTTTCTGAAGGCATCAACAACTTGACAGTAAGGCTTAAAAGTGGGGTCTGTGGAATAACATCTCTGTCTCTGTAAGATGGTATAAACCCCTTGGTAGTTACACCTTAGCACCACTATTTAACAGAAACACACAAAGTACAACTTTTCTTCACTATTCCTGGCTCTGTCAAGCAGCTGAGTTTTGTAGATTTGAAGGCAATTGCTTCAGTTGATTTCAGTGCATACCAAGAGATAGTCTGGATGGAGTGAAGCACCACTGGTCTCTGAGGCCTGCAGAATGTCAAATACTATGCAAATTATGGGTATTGTGAACCCTTATCAGAACTAGGGCTCAGATGAGGTCCTTTTTGTACAGGAACAGAGGGCAAAAGAAAGATTAGTGGTTGAGGAAGATACCCACCCATCCTGGTCAGGAGGCTCCCCTGGCTGGCAGTGGTGGCCCATGGCCACCAGCCCTCTTTGCTGACTCTCCACCCCTCAGTGAAGGCAGAGGACCCAGCTCTAAGCTGGCTGGTTAGCCTTGGGCAGTGGGTTGCCAGCTAATGGTCATGGTGCATTTTCTGGTGGAAACCCAGCCCCAGCCTGTGCTCCCCCAGGCATTTGGACCAGCAGAAAGGGGATTGAGCCGAGAGCTGGTCAGGAACCAGCGTGGCTGAAAAATGTCCTCAGCAGAAGGAAGCGGTGGCTGGCGAGCGGGGGACAGCGGTGTTTGCTGGGCACCCAACTGGAACATCCCTGGGGCTTGATTTTAGTTGTGAGGGCCTGAACCTTGCCTCTTCCCTCCTTTCCTTTCTAGCACATGTTGAAAGAAGACGAAATGTTTAAAGACTTTGCGACTCGCTCTCCTAGCACCAGTATAACAGATGAGGACTCCAACGTGTGATGGTAACCACCAGGCACTGACAAAGGCTCACTTTCCTATGTGCAAGAAACGTCGTCATCACACGTGACGGACAGCAGATCGTGTACATTACATTGCTCTTGCTTCTGTTTGCTAGAAGTAATATTGGAGGGTGGAGGATTTTTAAAAAAAGGAGGGGGGGAGAAAGGGTGCCGACTCTAAAGTTGCCATAAGAAATACTCAGACACTGGTGAATGGTAATTGTTTTTACTATATTTAATGTACAAACTGGTGATACGTTTCAGAGTGTTGCATTTAAATTTCCATGGTATCAGTGCTCCTTTTGCTTATTCACGGCCTCAGATAATCCTTTATACTGTTTCAAAATAACAGATGATGTTAGGTAGAAGTATTGTGTCTGTAGATATTGTGCATCAGCTTCCTCTAGGCTCTCAGCTGAAAAAAGATGTTACTGCTCTTTTTCAAGTGCATTTGTTCAGCACAAATACCAGTTTTGCCCTTCCGATGGTATCCAATGTAGGATTTTAGTCATCCACGCCCTGTGTAAACTCCTCAGTAGCTCTTGACTGTTGCCCTTATTTTTATACGGTTTTGTAAAAAAAAAAAAAAAAAGAAAAAGAGAAAAAAGTATATGAAGTACATATAAAAGTAACAAATTTTGTGTGGTAGAGTGGTGGAAAGTTCAAGGTGTGGGGGAAGGGGAGAGGGTTATAAAAGGATTATCCCAGTTTGCATACCAGCTGGTTACTGGAAAAGGCAGGCTGACCTTTGGAACTGTTTGCTTTCCGTGCTTTTTACTAAGTGCACAGTTTAACGATCTTCCATTTGGGATGAAGCAATTAGAAAGCATGTTTCTTCTAGCAGTGACTCTTAGGGAAACTGCACGTTTTACCATGTCACCTTTCTCGTTCCCAGCGGCAGTAATTGCAGCATTCAAGCAAGGTCATTAACGCTTCTGTGACGTAAAGTTGAGAGTACTCCCTGCGTATGGAAGGGATGTTTCTGTGCTGTGACTAACGTAAAGATGGTGTTAAAGTTATATAGAGAAATGTATAGGAAATACATTATTTCATAATATTAAACCTAAGGTGGGACTTTTCCTCCCAAATTCAAATATCAAACATGTTGCTCATCATTTTATCTCTTTAAAGCGGAGCTCCTCAGAGCTTTTGAAGATCGTCAGATTTTAAAAATCCTACCTAGCCAGTGGAAGTCTTTTGTCAGACTTCCGGTATTGCGAGGTGTCCTAGCCAAAAGCCATCCAAAACAAGTAACACTGTTTACCACAGTGGTCGTTTGTGTGGTGTTGAACGTTGCATGTATTTTAGCACAATGGCATGAAGCTTCTTTGCTCTGTAAAGGCAAAAACCATTCAGCTGGCCTTGTTCCTTGCGGTGGTGTGTTGCTTTGCCAAGCGTTTGTCACCCGTTTCGCCGCTCTCCTCGCTGGAAGTGAGACTGTTTGAGACGTTGCTGGGGCGGTGCGAGGGACGTTGGATTTGCGCTGACTTTGTGGGCGTTTCTGAAACGCTGCTACCGAAGTTGGGGAAGGGAGAAAGGTTCTTGCAGGGGCTTCCAGGGAGCTCCCATCAGATGTTGGCGTAGATTGGAGACACATTCTAGCATGATATTGTTTTAACCTGATATGCTATTGCCAGCCTGGTTCTTTGTAAGATGTGCAGTGTAGGCTGCTATTTATGTACCAAGATGAAAAATGTAATGTGGGCCACTTGTGTTATACATAGTATAAAGCCCTGCCATTTCCTCTTTAGCAACAAGCCAGGCAAACAATCCATAATGTATACATACAATAGTTTGTGCTGCTTACCATTTGTCTACAAACAGATGACAACTGATGCTTTATTCAGAATTCCTGACTAAGTAATGTCCGCAAATAATTTGCCGTCTGTTGTTTCTTCCTCTGCAGTCTTGGGGGTGTTCGAGCCATTTTACTCGAGCAAAAATACCACATTGTGTAACGCCTGCCGTCAGCTTTGGGGTGCAGATGCTTGGGATGGGAATTCAGAGCTCGCTTTCTGTGAATACTCTGCAATATGGTTATTACTTCCATGTAAGTTGGGCTTGAGACCCTGCTCTCCCAAATGCTGCAGAAGCAACGGGAAGCACATGATGCATCTGAGCAAAAGTGTTCTCTAGACTCGCCCTCACTAGACGCGGGCTAGTGAACATAATGACTGGGGACAAAAAGGGGCTGGTGACACATTACTGCATGCTGAAGTAGGCACAAACAGATACTCTTCAGTCCAGTGCTATTAGCAAGTGCATCAGCAGCAGCAGCAGCAGATGGTTCATCTTAAGTCTGGTTGTAAGTGGCATTCTCTCCGAACAACCCTTTTCCTGCGTTCACCGGTTGGAAACCGGGTCGTCCCTTCGAAGCTGGCTGTCATCTGAACCTTGGTTATTTTGTGGGGGTGGAATGTGAAAGCAAGTGGTAAAGTCGGGAAGTTTATGTGCGCATGTGCACACCAGTGATACCGCTGGAGTATTTTAATTTGTACGTTTGAAGAGGGCAGCGTAACTACTGTGTATTGCCATGTAAAATCCAATAAAGTCTGTGGAAAATGCCAACTGTTTCTGGAAGCTGGTTCCTTATTAATATGTCCTCTTTTTTTCCTTTTTATTTTCCTAGGAAGCTTGTTTCGTTCTACTTAAAGGAGGGAGAAGGGGCAAAATCACATGTTTTTTGTGGACTCCTTTGTTGATGGTGCCTGCAGAAAGACTCAGCTAACAGCTGAGAAATCAAGTACCACAAGTCTTTTTACTTATTTCTGTGATCCCAATTTGAACCAACCTGGGTTGTTTGGTGTGGTGTGAGGAGAAGGAGCTCTCCTGTTGCTCAGTGTGTGCTCCTCAGTGAGTCCTTGCAGGGTGCCAAAGGAAGGACCAGCTCTGGCCCTTCTCACTGTAAGGGGCAGCCATCTCTCTGTTTCCCAGGGTTGTCTCCATCCCCAGGCCCTCAGCAGTCACAGGAGCTGCACCTACTTTGCCAACAGGAGTTGAGCTTCCCCAAACTACATTTTGTTGATGGGATGCAGGTACAAATGGTGATCAGTGTTTTGCCCAGCTTAGCCCAGATAATGGACCAGAGAATGCAGAGCCCCTATTTTGTGACCTTCATCTCTGTGCCTTTTGTTCACCAGAACATTTGGGTGAGAACACTGAGGATAGGCACTTTGAAACCTAGGGTATAATAAACATTTGGTGTCTGTTTACAGCGATGAGGAAAAGATAGATGTGGATCAGTCGAGAGCTCATGGAGACTAAAGCCAGCTTTTTTGTTTTCTCAAATTACATAAATGCTTAAGAATGGAGAAGTAATCCAGAATAACCTCTGGAATGATTCTTCTGCTTCCCGTCCATAGGTGGTGTTGCTTCCTGGCTTTCCCCTTAGAAGTTGTACTTACCCTACCTGCATGCTTTTTTATGCCTTGCACTGCTTTGTTGTTGTGAACGCTTAATACATTTTGCTTCCAGTCAGAGGTAACAGGAGAAGCAGCAGCGCCCTGCTCCTGATCGTAACCATGAGAGGGTCACAGAGGAATGGAGATGGGCCCGTGATGCACTTGAAGACCCATGGAAGAACCAACATGTATGTAGGACATGATGTGTTTCTTAGAGAGGGACCCAAGGGCAGCAGCGGGACTGACCAGCCCATGCACCTGAGAAGGTGTTTCCCTGAGAGTGGCAGGAGCACGTGAACGACTGTAGGCAAAAGGAGACAGAAACCAAATTAAGAAGTTTTGAGCAATGAGAGAAAAGAGGACAAAGAGAGACTCAGTGCTTTTTTCACTCATTCAAATGAAAAGGAGGAGGAGTAAGAGCATCATTTGGCAGTACAGAGCCTGTATCTTTGGACTGATGGTGAGATCCTGGACTGACGAAGAGACCTTTGGCACCACTAACAGCCAGAGGTGAACAGGATTTGCAGCAGTAGTGTACATTCTGGCTTTCACAGCTACAGAGACTGGACTTTTTTAAGGTTAGGAAGCTTGCTTGTAGCTGTATTTGGTAGTCGTGCATGGTGGTGCATTGACTGTTCAAGCTTCCCTGTGCATTGCTGTGCAGCAGCAGTGGATATTTGGCTACAGACAAACAGCCCATCAGAACAGATGACTGACTGTCATTTCAAGCACCCTGTAGAAGGTCTTCGTTTTGGATGTGCAGCCTTCTCTGGGGGATTACAAGAACAGGGTTGTTTCATCTCTGGAAAACACCCAGTGCCAATAAAGTGGCTTCTCTGTAATAGTCCTGGAAAGGAGATCAGAGGAGATAAGATCAGACTGGAACGCGATAGCATCAGCTAAAGAAATGGTGCCGGAATTAACAATAAGGAAAATGAGCACCAATGAACGTGGTAGGTGTGAAAGTTACTGGGCCTGTTGGGCTGGTCGCTGCTCAGCCAACTGTGGAGAAACACACCCAGGAGAAAGCCCATCTGACCTGCGGGACAGCAGCCTGCTCACAGTGCTCGGCTCTGCCGCTGCCATGGCCTTCGTCTGGAAGATGGCAGGTGACCGTCTGCACACCAAATAGGTCTGGCTGAGCCCAGCACCCACAGAGCCTTCGCTGAAAAGGGACGGGACTTCCCGAGGTGATCTGTATGTGGAAACAACCTCCTCCTGCACAGAACATGGGCCAGAAGGTCTCACATGAGGATGACCAGGAGAGCAAGGCTGAAAATCTCTTCATCTGTGAAGTCTTCAGCCAAGGCGTGGTCCGTGCATCTCAAAGGCTGAGGGACTATCTTGGCTTCGTGGATCCTCAGAGCAAATTCCAGCCGGCCACAAACACGCTGAGCGAGATCTTCTTGGTCAACTTCATCAGCTTCTGTGTGGAAAAAGGAGTGGAGGAACACATCACGACCAGCAAAATGACCAAGCAGCAGTCCTCCCTGTTCGGGGTGGACTGGATCTGGACCCTGTCTGGAGCTGACAAGCAAATCCAGCTTCAGCTTGCCGTGCAGGCTTTGCAGCTGGCTGAGCTGCTCCGCGGCGAAGGCGGCCCGGCCGAGACGCCGGAGGACTGCTGCCAGGAAGCCGCGCTTCCAAAATATGAGCAGGTTTGAGAAGCTGGCCGAGTTCTGCTGCCTGGTGGGGCAGGATTGCCTGGGTTTGTTCATCGTGTTTGGCGTGCCAGGGAAGCCCAAGGACATCCGAGGAGTCCTGCTAGACAGCATTGCCAAGGAGGAGCAAAAATGCTGCCTGTCGGGCAGGAATGTGCTGGGGCAATTTGTCACCAGTACTGACAGCTTCCTCCCCACAAAAGACATGTTGGAGAACTGCCTCGGTGCAAAAAACAGACCAAAGGAGGTGGGCAACGTGTACATAAGCTTTCTGTAAAGCTGAGGTTAACAGCAGAGCCTCTCTGCACTTCAGCACTAGAGGCTGCACAGGGCTCAACTCTTCTTTGGCTTTTCCTCTTGCCCGCCATTCTCTCCACCCCCTTATTCCCACCGTCTCCTTTACTCATCACATTCCTTCGGCTCCCACAGGAGCCAGGCTGAGTCAGTCTCTCCAGGTTTTAATACAACAGCATGTACCTGCCAGAAAAATCTGATTGTAGAAGGCACATCATTTTTCCAGCACATTTTCTTTGCCAGGCATTAAGTCTTGGCTGGAGGCAATGAAAGCCCTGAGCCTCTGGGAGGTCATGGTAGACTTCACTCACAGCCTTTGTTTACTGTGTGACAGGTTTTTTTTTCCTGTAATGAGGGGTTGAGTCTGTAAGAAAATGTCATGGTGCCTGTCAGAAGATTTGCATTGAGCGTGAAGGACAATACAGGGACTTGAAAATGCTGTTTTGGAGGCGTGAGCTGGTTCACAACTAAGAGGAAAAGCCCTTCCCCAGAGAAATGGGCTGCAGGACAAGCTCTTCATATTTGCGGCCTGTTAAAAGTCAATCAGTGCCGGGCTACTGAGCCTTGGAGCTGTACCTGAGGGGCAGGGTTGGTCCCAGCTGCAAAGCCTGTTCCTGCCTGCAAAGCCTGTTCCTGCAGGGTGGCTGTGCCAGGCCAAGGTGTGGCAAAAGGTCCTGGCAGCTGTTAAAGAAAACTTGGGAAAATCAAAAAACCGGGGTCAAAATCCTGGCCCTGGAGATATTGGTGGAAGCTTTTGCTTTTCAGGCCCCCAAAGGCAGCTCCTTGACCACTCGTGGCAGAAAGCAGAAGTCTGGAGGAGGCAAAATTATTTCATTTTTGAAATTTGTTTCCAGTAGCTTAGCAGCTGATTGCATTTATGAACTGATTTATTCCATTTCCATAAGCTTTTAGCGGACAAAGTGAGACTTCTGTGTTGCACAGTTTTAATTGCTTTCAGCCATTGTTAACCAGTGGAGGAAGACATGGGCAGTTTTCAAACTGGTAAACTCACTTTGTTTCTAAGTATCTGAATAGTTCTGTCAGTGCAAAACTCCTCTGCCTGCACTTCTCTTGTAGAATTCTATTTAACAGAATAAAAATAATTTCAGAAGCTCATTCAAATGTAACTATTTACTATTTGAGTTATAAGAAGGGGTAGCTGTGACAGCTGAGAAATAAAGGCTGTTATTTACACAGCCATTTAAAAAAGAGCATAAAGAAGCTGTAGCCTCAGTGCCAAAGTTTTCGCAGTTTTCCGTGGTGTAGGTGTGGAGGCGGAAAGGTGAACTGAGGTATAAACAAACACAGAGACCTCTATTTTTTGCCGAGTCACAAATGTAGCTGGGTATGGAGGAGGGAGGCCTTTAAGTTTTGAAATAGTTCACTGAGATACAGCTGTTTTTAAAGCACTGGTGATGTCATTTACTTGTGTGTGTCGCAGGGGTTTGATGGGACAGCAAGGGCTGGTGCTGGTGGTTTACACAGAAGATACACATAGCTCTGAGGATCTGTGTTGAGTGAGGACTCTAGGCCCATTCAGGAGGGTTGGGTTGGTGGGGTTTGGAGTTGTTTTTTGGGGGGGGGCGGGTTTGCCTGTTTAGAATAACATCATAACCAATACTGCAGCAGGATTGATTGGTTTATAAAAGACTAGCAGAAGAGCTTTAATTTTGCATTAAATTGGTATATTTCTTACTTATAACTGGTGTGTGGCTCTTCAGCTATTTGGTTCTGTAGGAATGCTCTCTCTCTGAAAACTGGTTGGTTGTGTTTCCTTTGGCTGTTTTGCATGGTTTTTTCAGTACTGAAAAGGGAAGGGGAAAATCAGAATGCCTTGACTCTCCAGAGTTTGAACTATGGAAGTGGGCAGTTGCCCATTTGGTTCGTGTCCTCCAAAGTGGCCGTGGTACCTCAGAGTTGTCACTGAGGCTGCATGGTTATTCTGGGAGCCAGAGTGCATCGCCCAGGCTGTGCCACACTCTTGGCCTGAACTGCCTGGAGGGTTTCAGCCCAGGAGCCCAGGCCCCCTGTGACACCGGGAACTGCCCAAGGCTCTGTACTGTGGCTAATAATGGTGCAGATGCACAACAAAGTATTTAATGATTTGACTCTGCTCATTGATCCAGCCAAGCTGAACTGGAGTCTCAGCTCAGGTGATTCACAGCCATACCACAGCCTTCTGTAACTGCACATGCAGAGGTACCAGGTGAGGTGCTGACTGTGGGCCGTTCAGTCCCATGGTAAGCAAAGTGAAGGGCTTGGCTTGGCTTGGTTTTTCCCTTTGCAGATCATTTGTTAATGTATAGTGTAGTATAACGTATAGTTATCATAGTTGACGCTGTAGTTGAGCTCAAGAGCTCTCGGAAGCGTACCTCAGCAAAGAAGGGCTTCTGCCAGAAGAGGAAACTTGCCACACTGCTGCTGCTGGCCAGTTGCCTAACCAGGCAGGTCTTCATATCAAAAGCAAAAGAGCAGAACACCTCACCCCACCCTTTCTTAAGAAACTTTAATTTAAGAAGCACGATTACCTTATCACAGGATACACATATCCACCCTACCTGAGGCCACCAGGAGTTTCTGACTCAAGCAGAGATGGCCTGGACCCTTCGTGCCACTGCTCTGTTACTCCAGGAGAGCATCTGGCATGCCCTGCACCCTTCTGTTAACAGGTGTAGCAGCCTGGCCTGCGTACCCCAAGCTGGATGCTATGTGGACACTGCCTGGCTGTCATGAAATCGCACCAAAATGGCTACATGCACACAGATAATGAACTCAAACAAGCTTTAATCTGCAATTGAAATGAAGCAGACAAAACTTCATTCACCAAAACAACATCCCACTGACATTCAACAAATACAGGTTCGATATGCTGGTTGGGAATATTACCAGACACGGCTGGGTTTAGAATTCTTAAGTTTCTGGCCAAACGATCCAAAATGTGCACTCACTCACTCACTCACCAAAAAAGGGAGGGCTCTCAATCTCGAGAAGTTACCTTAAGTGGTGTCCCAACTCAAGGGGAGAGTCCCTGACTGCAGACCCGCTGCGCTGAGGAGGACCGACTCGAATGAGTCCTCCGACGGGGCCCCATTTATACCCTGGTCGAATCTGATCTGTGGTCAATACACGGCTGTGTCATCCCCTACTGGCTGAGGACCCCAACTTTCCCGCCTTTGACCCCCACTGTGTGGCCCAGACATGAGCTGTAAGGGGGAGGAGGCAGTCCTGGTGCCACCAGGGCCAGAAACTTTAGCACTGTCTTTGCTGGGTTTTTCTCAGGTCTTTAGTAGGGTGGGTGCATCTGCCACACTGGCAGAGGCCTTAATCGATATCCCTCGGCCACAGGGTGACCCCTCTCCCAGACTCTGGGAGGATAAACCCCACCCCAACCTCCCCCTCCCCACCCTGCTGCTGGTTAGCTCAGCATAGGATGCATCCACCACAAGTGGACAGTTGCAACAGATTATTTGGTTAGAAACTGTGCACTTGCAGGAATTTGCTGCAACTCGCTGTCTGTGTACACTCTGAAACACCCTTTGCTGGGAGCCAGGCCTAGGCCAGAGAACAGCCTGGCTCTGTCTTGTGATTGATGTGCTGGGAGCGCTGTGTGCCGTCTGGAGCAGAGCTGTTTAAGAACAGCGTCTTGTTCTGTTCATTCAAACTGTAGGGTGGGATGACATGGAGGGCACAGTCCCCAGGAGCACTAAGGAACTGCTGTCGCTAATCCCTTGCACTGTTCAAACAAGGAAAGTTGCAGATCCCTGCTGATCCAACCCCATTTTGCTGTCTCTCTCCCCCCCCCCCCCCCCCAGATGTGTAAGAAGTTACAAGGCCAGCATGGCTGCTGCACTGGCTTTGCCCAAGTAAGGCTTCTTTTCTTCCTGTTCGCTTAGGCAGGATCAAGAGAAAAGCTCAGGAACAGTATGAGGCTCCTTTCTGTAAACCAAGTTAATTTTACCTAAAACATTCGGCAGCCACTACTACATCCTTGAGGCAATGAGTATTTCCTTACCTGTCATGCAGTGCCTCAAAGAGAAAGCAGAGTGCCCCTTCCTCCTATAGCAACTGGGGGCCAGGTGAGGAATTGTTTAGGTGATCGCTTTCACCACACACAGCCCAGAACCAAGGGCTGCTCGGAGCGCTGGACCCGTGGCTGTGGCAGGGCTGACATCAGCACCCAGCAGGAAGCACAGAGCCAGGACTGCTGCAGCACCATGAGAAGCACACAGGCTCAAGCCTCAGCTATGGGACTGAGATTGAGGAATGGCTCCATTCCTACCCCCGTCCTCTCAAATCCTCTTCTGCAACAGGAACCATACCCAGAGGAAGACCCCTGGCTGCATCCAAGCCTGTCTTCAGAGTTTCTGGGGGACATCTTCCTCTGCACACTGTGGAGAGTGCAGCAGCAGATGCACTCCCAGTAAAGGCAAAGCAGCAGCAGCCCTGTCAATCCTGTTTCTCTCAGGAAGCTTTCCACAAAACACCTTCACCCAGCTGCTTTGGGACAAGGAGGGTAGCAGTACTCAGCACCACTCATCACAAAACAGGAGGAATATTCATATCTTCTGCAAGACAGATGAAATGGCTCAAGGGAAAAACAAAACCAACTTTAATGACTGATGTGTTTAAATGCTACAGTACAGGACCATCAAGCAAAAGGGACTTGACACAGTTTTGTTTCAGTAGGTTATACAAAACCCCTCTCTTTATTTATTAAAAGAGCCTCCTGTTCACAAGGAAGATGTACAAAGGTAAAAAGAAGAGACTAGAGTGACAGAAAATCAGACAGTTTGCTCCTTAACTGGGCATCCAAACACAGCAATTTGCACCAAACTCCAACAAAAGAAAGAAACCTTCCCTTTCTAGAGTGTTTTACAACTATAGTTCAGCTCTTACCAAGTTGAAGATGATGTGCTGAGTAACACACAGGTGCTTCACCTGCAAGGTACTTTATTTCTTACACAGATGTCAACAAAGCCACTAACCGAATAAGCAGAGGCAGCAATACAAAACAGTTTATGTGTAACCAGCTGGAGTTATATTTTACAAGAAAACTTCATTAAATACAATCATGAAAAAAGCTACGTGTGATATACACAGTGACATAAACCAGCAGCAAGATAACTTCTCTATTTCTGCTTTTTGCCTTCTAAAAAAGGGACTGAAACTTACTTGAGTATTAGCTGAACTTCAGAGCACAGTTTTAAAGAACAAGTTTCAGAGGCACACATCAAAAATTCAAGACTTCAGCATCAAGTGTCTAATTAATAAATTTAATAACAGCATTATCCATTCAAGGTTCCTTAAATTATCTTTTTCTCCTTTTAATTCATACTGAAAATTAACCTTTTAAGTGCCCAGTACCCATCTGTTGTACAGGCACAAACGAAAACATGGCAAGCTATAACCTCAAGCACCTACCTGGATCTTTAAAAAAGGGATACCATACACTGACACTTAGAGCTAGCTAGCATCCAAATTACTTCATATATGACTAAACATCCTTTTGGTCACTCAGATTTTATCACCAGAAGAAGATTTTCAGTTTCCTAGGTTCCTTGCAGGACAGCTCTACTCTCAGCAGCACCTCTGTTGTTCAGAAGCAGAAGGCTCAGCACACAAGGTGCCATAAGTTTACTGAAGATTAGGTAAAAGGCTGCTGTAAAAAAAAGGTACATTAAACAAAATAAAAATCAAACCTCTAGTAAACAGCATCTAAGAAACAGGTTTAGATTCTGTGAGACATTTGAGTTTGCTGTCAGTTTGGTGACTTAAGGCTGTTCCCACGGATCCCTACCAACCAAAACCCTGTGGAGCTTTGCCTGAGCAAGACACGCAGGCGAATCTCCCAACCGCACATACACAGCACCCAGAGCTGGGCCACTGCTGAAACCCACCCTGGCAGTGAAACCTGAGCCCCTGTGTTCCAAATTACCTCTGGGAAACAAGGAACTAAAACAAGAGCAGTTTTCACCCAGTGTTTTTTTTCACTGCACAGGACATGCAGAACAACTGCTTTCATCCTCTTGTGTCACCACCTGCTATTTAAAAGTAAGTACAAAAGTTAGTAGTTTTTTCAGTATTCCACAGCTATTTGTGGACAGTTCACAAAGCTGCCTGCTTCCTGTAGTTGCTTTCATTGCTCAGGGATAAGAACTGTGACCAGCTGGAAAAGTGTTTGCATTTAAGAGGTTATTCCAAATTACAAAGGCAACACATCTTGTATTGCTGCCTACCTCTCCGTTTTGATTAAAGAAGGCAGCTTGAACAACTTCAGTCATAAACAGTGAATTGTCATCCTTCAACTGGACAAGCATCTTTGAGCTTCTGATGCTGCAAAGACTATGCACACAAGGCAAACACTCCTGGCCCTCATACTGTAAAAGCTCTGTAAGGATTAAAATTTGGCATAAGCAAGGTGAATAATCCAGCACGTTCCATGTTTTCAGACTCCATACCAAATCAAATACTGGGTATGCACAGTGTTAGGAAGTTGGATATTACCGCCGTTTGATTACAGTGCTAGGAAAATGGGTAGACGAGTGTTTACTGCCCTAAGCAGCTGTACTGTCCTCCCCTGAAGTGGTGTATAATCTTTCTATGTGGCAAGGGCAATATAGCTAAGCACTGGGCATCGCTACCTTTCCACAGTACAGTTGGTTTCTGTGCAGCACACAATACAGTTTCAGTACAGTCAAACTCAAGTGTCTTACTTGCCAGATATTCAGAAAAAAATTGAAGCTTTTTAAATGTATATGTAGCTTCCCAGCACTGCGCATCTGCCATCTCTCTAACTTTGTCCTGTTCCCCATTAAATGTTTTTTCTTCCCTTCTACACAAGACCACTGAATTAACAGTCGTCTTTAGAAGGAGAACCTCATCTCCTTGGTGTAGCCCAGTTTGTCCAGATTGGGAATGCAGGCATACTGGATCATTGGAGGAGGTCCACACATGAGGATCAGAACATCATTCTGAGGTGGGGGCAGGTGGTTTCTGATCATCTCTTCATTCACAAATCCTTGGCTGTAATCCCAGTCTGTTAAAAAAAATGAGAGTAGGGGAAGGGGAATGAGGGAAAAAAAGGAGGAAAAGGTAAGACAAAAGTCATTTCAGAAAGAAGTGTGGGGGTTTATGGTTTTTTAGTAACACTCTGAACTGTAGCATTTGTACACTCCACTCGCATTAATGTCCTCAGCACAGTTCTGCTACATGGAAAAACTGCATCCTCTGCTCTTAAGCTCTTAAACTGATGTATGGAAAAAAGAAAGGCTTTCATTAAAGCTTGCTAAGAGCCCCAAGGAAATCTTAGGCAGAGCTCTGAACAGTGTATGAGCCTTCTCAGCTCCAGCACTGTGAAATACCACCACTCATCCTCCTGTTTACAAGTTCATAAGGGGAAATGCTGCTGATGTTATTCCTGGTAGGAACAGTCAAAGTGTTAACCAGTTAATACTGGGACTTGGGTTTACCCATTGCATCCCCAGCCCTGGATGCAAAAAGCTGCTGACCCAAACCTTTGGGCACAGTAAGACTGGTATATTTTTCTCCTACAAACTATCAAAATTTTCCAGTTTTGGTCCAGTTTCGGGTATGGTATTGAAAGTTTGAGTGGGTCTAAGGAGGAACTTTCACTGCAGCTGCTAAGATAAGTTAACAACTCACAAATAGCAAAGAAAAGGAACAGTGATTAACACCCGACTCTAACTTAGAAGTTCCAGGAGAACACAAACTGCAGAAGGTGACAAGAGAGCAACAGACTGGGGACTACAAGACCTTTCCCTCCACCCTTGGGAGGCACATTTTTGGTCACAAGGGAAGAGAAGGCGCACAGCTTTTCCTCCTCTGCCCCAGCTCCCAGTGAGTAGGAGCGTGAATTCATCCTGATGTGGGTGGGCATGACAAGGCTTGCTAAGAAAAGACAAGGACAGCTATTGACACAAACTATTCAGCCGTTTCACAATGGCAGTAACCATTTAGCCTTTTCTTCCTCAAATTTACACAGCTGAGGGAGGTACATTCAGCCAGCTTATCATCTCACTTAGACCAGCCAACTGTATTGCATTATCTTTAAAAGCTGGAATAGGATTCTCATTGAGAAGCGCTGCTGATGCAAAGAAAATTCCATTGCCTAGGAAGAACCATACAATCCCAGAATGTTCTGGAAGGTCAGCAACAAAGACAGCTCGGCAAGAATCTGTGCTTGGCCATGAGAGACAGCACCTCTGCCACTCCCACTGCATCTGCCTTGATGCATGCTCTGAACATGAGACACTAAGATAAGATGTTATCATGTTGCTGTCTGTGGGGAAGGAGAATGGAAGGTCACCTTGGATGAGAGTAAATAATGGTAAATATTCAGGTGTCATCGTGGGAGGAACACTGCACTACCAGCCACCTCAGGTGAGCTTTGTAGCTTTGGAAACACTGCCCAAACACATCTGGAGTTTTTGTGCATCAGTGTGAAGAATGATGTTACTGAACGCATTCAGACACTACTCATTAAGCAAGACTGCAGCCCAGAAATACGCACATGACATAGCATGTCTCACGTCAAACACATGCATTGATACTCTTACTTAAGCTGCAGGGGAAGCAGCATGTTAGATCTTACTTTCAGGTGCTCTGTCCAGTGTGTACCAACACTTAAAACGACCGGGATTCTGGACCTGGATCTCCTCTAGCTCAGAGCGTAGCAGGATGTCCTTCTCGGTCTGCAGGATAAGAAGAACAATGATTATGCTCTGCATTTGAGTGCAGCCCTCAGATGACCACAGAGCATTAGCTACTCCACAGCTCTGTGAGATGGAAGAGATTACTCATCTCCATTGTACAGGCCAAAGAGAGCAAACATGTTATTTCCATGACTACCCTGTGGCAGAGCTATATAAAAAGGTTCAGAACCTTCTCAAGTCCTGACAATCCAATGCCTTCCCCCTTAAAAATACAAAACCTGTATCAAAATACAGAACCTTCACTTTTCAGGGAATTAGTGGTAGCACCAGAAGAGTAAAGCCCTCTTTTAGCATTCCTATTACAAAAGCAACTTTCATCAAAATACTAACATCTCCCTACCCTTCCATATTCCCTGCCATTCAGTCAGGAAAATGCCAAGTTTTTCACCTTTGCCACTTCATATTTGATCAGCACACCCATACAGAGACTGCTTGGTTCTTAAACAGGACATGGGATGACAAATAACCAAAAGGGTATCGAGTTCTGATTGAAATAACAGATGTTACCCAAGGGATCAAGTTCTGTTCCTCCCTGATGCAAGCATTGAAGGCCAAAACAAAGCCTTATTCCCAAAAGAGCAGCTGCAGTTTGGGAAGGAGGGAAAGGGTAGAGAATAAAAGTGGCACCATCCTCTGCAGCCTTAATAATCTGGCACTGAGGACACTGCTATGTCTGTAACTGGGGGGGTAAGGAGGAATGTGCCAGCAGCTATTGCCGAGAAGGTGCCTATTTCTGGATCCACAGTTGCATGTGTTCCCGAAAGCCTGTTACTGGGTCTGGCCTACTTCAAACCTGCTGGTCAGCAGCACAGTACAAGCCCATGGACGCTGTCATCTGTAATCCAACACAGCTCTTTCAGGAGGGCCAAAATAAAACATCAGCAAAAGAATAAAAAAGTACTTTGAAATATTTTAATATATTAAATATTAAAAAACATCTAGTCTGCAGGCTTTCCTGTCTGACCACTTCTCACGAGGCTGCTTTATGTTTGTGCAGTTCCTGGGTACAAGAACTCTTTAAACCCAAGGACTGATGTGGACACAGGCTGTTGCTCACACAGGCAATTGTTCCCAAGTCCTCCCTGCAAGAAGCAGCAGGTTTCCTGGGCTGCTAAAGCAGCTCTAGCCCTCTATTAGTCATCCCCAATTACTCATAGCAAATCCTGGCCTTCCTGCCTCAATACCGATCGCACTTTATGCCAGCTCCTAGGGCACAGCAGAGAGCAGCAGCTGCAGCCACATCAGAGGGCACCAGCAGGGCTCTTAAGGAGGTCTTGCTGCAGTAAAGCACCAGAACAGGTCATCTGTTGGCACTTGGATCATAGCTTCTGGATAGAAAAATCTTGTTTTATAATTCAGATACGAGGACAGACAGAATATCAGAGGAGAGAGGACTGACAGAGGAGAGCACAAAGAAGCTAAAAACCACAGGCCTGAAGCGAGGTTCACCACAAGTAATGTCTCATAATCCAGAAACCAATCTTCATTGTGATGGAGAAATTTAAAAGCAAAAGGATTAAGACCAGAAGAACATCAGTCAGAGAAAGGGTGTTGCAGTTCAGAGCACACCACCATTTGGGTTGCGGGGTCATCCAGGAAATCCTAATTGCACAGATTCCATGGATGAGAGCCCTTCCCTTTATCCAGCACAGCAGTGACACACTTCAAAGAGCAAAAGAAATGCATGAAAAACTGACAGAGGGAATGGAAATGAAAGGTGACAGCCATGCAGAACCACAACTCCATGGCTGAGGGAGCTGCTGGAGACCAATGTTAATTTTAGCCTCACCTAAGGAGTTCCCTATTCCACATACAGACTCTGCTGTGAAGCTGGGGAGTTACAATAGCTGAAGGAGGCAGAGGTCCACCTCTTTCATGCCTCCACTAAGACAGACAGCTCTGAAAGTCCACCCAAAACATTAACAACTTGCACAAAGGAATGCAGTTTTAAAACATTTGCAAATTGGATCAGAAACAGAGCAATGAGACATAAGAAAGGGAGCTGGGAGGAAAGCAGCATTTCTGCAGTAACACTAGCAAACCAATTCATTACAGTGCTTTTATACGGGAAGTTTTCACCATTTCAGTTCACTTCTCCCCTCAGGGCCTGTGTTTCTGTACCAGGCTTTCTCAGCAAGAATGTAATTTGCTGAGTGGAGTTCCAGTTAGTAAAGGAAACCTTTATAAACAGAAACAAGGACAGAATTACCTGATTAGCAAACAGCAGCTGACAAACAGTAGGGTCATTTTTGTCTTTTATAATTGCTCGAATGATCTGCAGCATAGGTGTTATCCCTGAAAAAGAAAGGCAGGTCAATGATGCGGGAATGTGAAGAAACAAAAATAAATGCAAGTGAGCATATGAGAGAAAATATGAACAAACACATCCACCAGCCATCAGAAACCAAAGATGAATCTCTATTGTACGTACCAGTCCCACCTGCAATCATCCCCACATATTTCACTTTCTTAGGAACTGGTTCAGCTTTCTTTTCAGGCCGAATAGCAAACTCTCCTGAAAAGAAGAGAGAGATATGGAAAAAACTGAAGAAAGCAGGAAACAGGGCCTGTGACCCTTTCCCAGCACATTTCAGCCCTGTCTCCCTCTCTCCTCTGTAAAGCAGGAGCAGGAAACAGCCAAAAATGAAGATGTCATGAACTAAAACAAATCCTGAAAGATGATCAAAGATTGTAAAACATATGATGATAACATCAGACATGGGATATTACTTACTCCTGACTATAGCATCAAGTCATCACCCCTTGTATTTCTATCTGCTCAGCTCCCATACCCCCGGAGATATTCAGAAGCCCAAATTCTGGAAACAATTCTACACAAAGGAATTAACCTGCTCAGAGAGCATATCTACCCCATGCAGATTATTTTAAGAGTAAACCTGAAATATGCAGGGTATATTCTTTTGTAAACTTATCTCCTCTTTTTGAGCCAATTTGCCAGTTTCAGGCAAATCTGTCAGAGTTTGAAATTGCCTAAAATACTTCATTTATTGTATTCACATCTCTTTCCATCCAGTATAACACAAAACAACACACAAAGCTCTGGAAAACGTCTGAATTCTGCTGCTCAAAAAACTGCCAGAAGTTTTTTGTGACACATTTGTGGCTGCACTATGCCAAAGTGAGAGATTTTATATTGGCATAAAAGTACTTCCTAGTGATAAAGTTCACTTTCACTTGGGAAATTAGCTTTGGACAGAGCAAATACCAAGTGTTTCCATCAATGTATAAACTATGTCCACGTAACTAGGGAGAGAATTCTCTTCTTTAAGAATAGTATTAATAATGAGCATTTCTATAGTCACATAACAATCTCCCTCGGGATGGCCATCGACTTAATTAAGACGCTACCGCTTTCTTTTGTGCGGAGAAACACCTGAACCCAGCTGAAAAAAAAAAATATCTGTTACCACCATTAATAGTATTTTATCTGTTTTTTTCCTTCATTGTCTACTCTGGATAACTATATCTTCTGAGTCAGCCTTGCCTTTTCCTTTGTAGACAAGTAGGCCATTTGGTCCTCTGAAGTCAATAGTATCTCCTATTTTCAGGCTGTCTAGGTATTGAGACATCTTCCCTCCATCAGGAAACTTCGGATGGACACCTCTAAAGTAGATCTGTTAAAAATAACAAGGAAGCAATTAATCTCACATCTCAGACATGAGTATTTACCCTTCAAATATTTAGGTACCCACACTCCTCATTCAAAGAACACAGTCACTACATAAAGAAATACTATCAATGCAGATTTGACTGACAATAAAAGAAAAGCACCGAGTTTTCTGATAAAGATTGAAATGCCACTCTTGCCTCGATTTTTAACAGATTGGACAAAGACTGGCAATCTCTCCATTGTATTTGTCTAAGACAGAAAATCTCTCTAAATAATCAACAGGATTTACACCAAAGCTCAAAAAAAAAAATACACCATTGTGATTTCAAACAGAATAACTTCTAAGAAAGATCCCTGACAGCTCAGTTACAAGAAGATACATCAAAAACATCTAGGGATGCCAGCTGTTAGCACCTCAAGGTTAGCGTAACAAAAAAAGTGGATACCAACTCATTGAATATTCAGCTGTCCACCGAGAGGTATCAGTGGGTGGAGTGATATTGCTGGAATTGTGCTGTTTTGTTTTAATTCATGTGGGTGTGAACGAGTCCAAGCAGAGACTTGCCACACTTCTACAAGAACAGCATCATTTGCACGCATGGAGAGCCACACTGGGAAGGAGGAGTCTTGTGAAATGTTCCTATCTAAGTCAAGGATTTATGTTTTCTCTTGTCATGTCTCCAGTATGCAATGCCACGCTCGTGAAGATAAGTAGGTAGAAAAAGGCAAATTCACGTCTACTTTAACAATGCATGTATAAAATGTTATTGGTTGTAAAGACGACAAAAAAGCTTCAGAGTAAATTTCGAAGAGGAAATCCAGTGCAGCTATTCAGGTTTTAAATTCCTGTCAGCTTTATATGTATCTGCTTAGTCTAGCTAACCAAGAGACAAAAGTACATTATCACAAGACTCAAAATCGCATTCTTGCCAATTAAATCAGTCACTCACAGAGTCTGGATCAGTAACAATAATGATCACTGCTTTTAATGATCATAATGACCATATTACATTTGCTTTAGAAGCAGCTGACAGTTCAGGTAAGGTTAATTCCCTGTTTCAGGAGGATTAAAAAAAAGCACATGAACATCTGCAGGTCTACATGGATTTTGGAAAACTGCAGTATGCAAATACAGAAAATTATGCTGGATCTCACGAGACACACTTGCTAAAACAGCGCTTGCAGGTAATTGCAGGTCACTTGTTACAGCAGTGGAAGCCTGCAGTGGCACATACCTGAAGAGAAGCCAGCACATCAGACTTCATGCAGCACAGCAAGTGTAAAGGTGGGCTCAGAAGCTGCCCAGCCTGGTAAAAGAGCATGATATTCTCACCTTGACAACAAGATCCACAAAGCCCTTGTCATCGTCACTGGAAACTGGAGTGTAAGGTCTAACAACCAGAGCTCCATCAATCCGTGCAGACAGGTAGATATGCTGTCCTGCATGCAGAGAAGAAAAAAAGCAGTTTGGTTTCAAAAGATTTTTCTTTCAGTGGATGTACTGAGTTCTGCATGGACTGCAAATGCAGTCTCAAAGTTCTCCTACCTACCCTGCTTTGGGGCACCACTTATTCCTCTCTCATTTTCCTGACAGTGTAGCACCTTGCCAGAGCTGTTGTTAACCACACACAGATTCTACCTAGGACAACTGACAATCCCACTAACTGAATGTGTCGGTCATGTATGTTCTGGCAGCTTCGTGCATTTACACTTACCAAAGCCCTACAAGGACAAAGCAGGGGAAAAGTGTCAAGTGCTGTTCACACTTAACATTAACATGTTCATTATAAACTGTTATATTTTAGTTATAACTGCTCTCACTTTGACCACACATCGCTCATGTCTACCCAGAAGTCTTCTAGCTGCCATTGATAAGGGTGCCACGACACAAAGCAACTTTCTAACCCAGCTACTCCTCCAACTTAACCTTTGAATGTAATGATCATGTTTCCATGTCACACATTCACTGAACTCTCCACAGTACTTTCAGTTCTCAATGTCTATATTCTTGACAAAAAACCCAAACCCTAGAATTACCTCATCTGAAAGGTTTTCCTATGAAATCCCAATATCCTGAAGATATCCAAGTGAAGAATACCTAGGAGGGATTTGGTTTTCATTATTCTACCACCACTAGGTCAACAGAATCTGCTACCGCTTAAGACGAATGCAGCTCTCTAAAGACGGTGCAGCTTCTCTGCCTGTGACATGCACACAAGAAGGGGATCCTCCTGGGAGCTGGTGTGCCCAGCTGGAGGGCCAGTGAGGCAAACCAGTGGATGAATGAAGATGTGCTACCTGATGACTTTGGAACTGAGCAACCATAACCAACCTGAAGCTGTACACAGATAGAAGGGTGACTCAAGTAACCCTCTCAGCAAAGCCTATCCACATCTGGTAGCACACACGTTTCCTGCTAGGGAAGATCTAAACAGCAGCAGCCCTCTCATTCCTCCTCCAGGTGAAGGGTGGCCTTGCTACTCCCTCTTTCAGGAACAGACCCATGGTGACCACTGAAGACTGGGAACTCAAACAGATGGGACCACTGTTGGGGCATGTCTCACAAGAATTGTTACAAATCCAAAAAAGGTGCTCCTCCCAAAGGGAAAACATGCCTTATGCTCTTGTTAAGAGCTTTACCCCACCCTGACAGGGCAGCAGCTGCTGGCAGTCTCTGCACAGGGCCATACACAATCCACTCTCCCTCAGCATGAATCACATTCTTTCCTGTAATGCTTCAACTGGTGGCAAAAGCAAAATGCGGGTGACTAAATATGCAGAGTGCCCATCAGTATCTGTCCCATGGCTGCCAAGCCTGCTGCTCCCAGCTGCTTTCACCACCCTCGCCAGCTTTCAGCTGTCTTTGCTTCCCAAGTCTCTCCCAGTAAGCCACTCCCCCAATAGTCCACAGGTTAGCCCATGAAGAACACTTCAGGAGTACAACTACACTGCTCCTGGGACTGTGCAGGGCCAGGCACATACCTTCTCAGGCTGTGCTGAGACAACTTGCTGATTTGCCCTGACCTTACAAGACACTGGAGGAAGTCATGGTATCCGGCAGGCCAAATTCACCCCAGATAGAGCTTCCTTTCTCTTAGTGCGTAGGACAAGAACAGTTACAGAGGTGAGGCAGCTCAATCTTCAATGTTCATTATGGGCAAGGGAGGGAAATTAGCTTTGTCCTCATGGCTACTTAACATGATTATAATATATCCCAAACAAGAGGGAACCTGAACACAATGGACTGTAATGTTGAAAAGGTGCTGAGGATTACCTCTGATCCACGGATAATTGCAACAGGTTGTTAAAGCAGAAGTCCCTATTAAGCATAAGTCACAGTTAAATGCTCTTTATATAAGCAGTAAAAAACAACAGCACTAAGCTATTAGAGAAGGCAACATGCCACATGGCAAGGCCTATGGTGAGTATGAAGTTCCATGAGACTGCCTGCAAATTCAGAAGTGAGTGGATCATCTGATAAACTGCATCTATTAGAGAAGTAGCTGTAAGTGCTGCCTGGAGGCATGGAAAGGGACCACAGAGACCAAGTGCCATGGCAATAACACACAACGGAAAACTGAGACTGGAAAAACGCAAGTAAAGACCAATGTTTGTTTCTACTGTCTTCGCAGCAACAAGCTGGATGTACACTCTCTGTAAGTACACAAGATTTCAGACCCTGCAGATGACTCACAGCATGAGGATGATTTTTGCAAAGCACTAAATACCAGCTCAAGCCACACGGACAGTATTCAAAACTTAACAGTTTAAAACGTAAGGAAAGAATCCCCACAAAATCTCCAATGGTATAACTAACAACGCTTGGATTCTCAGTAAGGCAAGACAGAACGTACCTATAGGGAGGCCCAGAACGTGATCTATGGATGGAAGAGCAAATCGAAATTTTCTTGTGTCATGACTAACTTCCTGAAAGAGGAAAATAAAAAAAACAGTAAGGTATGTTATTGGGATTTAATGTTTGCGATTTCACTTGCAAAACCAATACGCCAGTCTGGCTTCCTGCAGGATTAAATATTTGGGGGGTAAGCAGCATCCTAACCAAAATTTTTACATAATGCAAGTATGAACTCCTCTGAACACGGCAATGCTGAGGAGGTCGACTTTTCATTCAAACTCCTTGAAAACTTAACTTTACCTCAAAATATTGCAGAAGTAAGACAGAAATACAAATAGAAATAGACAAATGCAAAAACTACTTCGATGAGCATTTAAATGTGAATAGCAAAAATTAATAAGATACTCACATGCAGATTAAGACTAAATGATAACTTTCTTAGTGTGAACATTTACACTGCCTCCTGTGAGAAGGCCACAAGATAAAAATCAACCAGTTCTTCTATTCTCATTTAAAGTTTACATATGCAGGAGTTCAAGGCCAAAATATTTTTATTTTGATGTCTCAAAATCAGATGAATTAACCATTTCAATGTAGAAGATTATTTCAGAAGACACTAGTGGATGTCAAGAAGATGAAGTAGCAGCAACCTGATGCCCTTTGCTATGCTAAGAACCTTAAAAATATTTGCCCCATAAAAACTAAATTAATCCTTAATTAAAATTAAAAAGAGCACTTTAGTTAGGTAAGGACTCTATTATAAAATTATGACAATTTATGCAGACCAGCTGGGATAATTATTCTCATTTTTTACTAAGAAAGTCACACCTTGAATAAAATTTTGTTAATGAGTAAGAAAGATGTTATTTCTTATAGTACATAAGTTTTATCCCTTTAAAAACAGGTCATATTCATGGCATTGAAAAAGACAGGAAAATAAAAAGACAAAGAAACAGCATACAATCTAACGCTTCATCCAATGACTGTTTTTAAAACCATATGGGACATAATATCCCTTCTAAAGAAAATTTCATAAACATCCTATAAAATACTGTAACTCATTTTTTTGTTTTTAAAGTAACCTATTGAGACAAATTTCTTTCTCATCTCATCTTCACTTATGAGTTTGGCTCACACTGATGAAATTTTCATCACAAATTATGTTAAGGTAAATGCTGAAGAAAGAAGAGAACTGTGTGGCAGTCTAAAAAGGGCTTCTCTGCACTTGCGTCTCTTCAACAGTGAATGCCATTGCAAATTCCACTTGGAAGAGAGCTGGCGTGGACCTAATGCTGCTGCTCCCACAATGACTGCTGCTGTTGCTGCATGGAAATTTCACCACCAGCTTCGTGACTTCAAAGATGGATTTTGCCAATAATTATAGAATGCATTGGGTTGGAAGGGAGCTTTGAAGATCACCTTAGTCCAATAATCCTTTATTTTAAGATGCTGTCTCTATTAGCATGCAGAAAGAACAAAGTTCTGAATTTCCAGTTAATAATCTCATCGATTAAAGTTGCGATACCTCAGCCACAAGTGTTTTGGTGCACCACAGAAGGCAACTGTGAGAAACACCAAAAGGCTCAAGAAATTCCTAGTACACCTACACCTTGTCTCTGTTACATGGCCAAGGCACTGAGCATGCCATTCAGCAAGTCACTAGTCAAGGCCAGATTAAAGGCAGCCTTGGAAACAGTACGCAGAAGCCATTTCCAGCATAAAGTCATCTCTGCTGCACTCCCCAGTGCCAGCATTTGGCATTGCCCTCAACACCTGGAAGCCCTTGGCCTCCGGCTATCAGCACACATTTCATTTATGTCTTGAGTTGCAGGTGCCGAGGGCTTTTCCATAGTTGCAACTGCAAATGCAAAGCTGGAGGAGAGTTTCTGCAGGCTGGTGCTTTGCTGAAGCCACTGAAAGGCAAGAAATGAATTATACTTACAATTAAAAAAAAATATCCAGAGGTTGTGGACTTTTTTAAGGCACAAACTAAATTAACACACTATATTGTGATAGTTTTTCCTTACGCTAAACAGTAGGAAGCAGCCTTGTGACACCTGTTTCTCTATTCAACGGCCAGAAGGTACGGCATGCTCAGTTTAGGCAGATGTTAACACTTCAGCAGGTGGGTAAAAGGCAGACAGTGGGCAGAAGAAGAAAGGCTTCTGCTCGCAACAGCTCAAGAAAATGTTCAATTTCCAGCTTTCATACACAAAAAATCTAAGCTGCAGTAAAAGATACATATATGTCAAACCAGGTATTCTCTAGACCAGTGCTTTTCAAACTTTAGGTTGCAGACACCTAAAAACTGTTTTTATGTAACTCTGGAATCCTGAAATTTCACATATGTGTATTTCTTTATGGCAACCCAGTACATATTACTTAGCTTTCCGCTGCAATTACCAGTTCATCTTCTTTAGCTGTGAAATTGGTCTAAGCGGTTCCCGCAACTTCCTTTCTTGGTCAAGCTTCTTGTTCCTTTGCTTGGGCCACAGCTGACTAAGAAAAGTTTCTGCAAGGCCATACTCTCAACTATATCATCAAAATATGTCAGGTTAAAAATTACAACCCTCAGCTACTCCCAAAACAGGGAGTTCATTTGTTAATTTTTTTTATTTAAACACAAATCATTTTGGTGATCTGCTGGTGAAGGTTCCAACAGAGAATGGTACCAAAAAGAGAATGATAAACACCAACATGGTAGTGGGAATAGCAGAAGCTTTTAAAATATGAGGGTCTTTAGCCAGGCTGGGGAGGTACCACTGCAAGGTACAACCAGGGTACTGAAATTCCTTCTGCAACATAAGGTAAACTCTAGCCAACCACATGGATGTCTTGAGTAGGCTCCACAGCCATACCAAGAGCCACGATTCTTCCTTCCCAGGTTAAAATGTTTATGTGTAATGACAGGTATTTTTAAATTAAAAGTTCTCATCTACTTCTAATTTAATAGCTTGTAAAATACAAACCTGAAGCATGCCAGAAAGACTCTGACTAATTTCACCACTCCCAGACAGGTGGATATGGCATTGTTGAGAAGTTTAGTACCAGAGATCAGAGTGTTTGCCTCAGACTTTTGGCAGGATGTTAGAAGCACCTAGCACTTACTGTTCCAAATTGAGATATTTCAAAATTAACTTCTGTTTCCAGGACACATTTCCCATCCAGACAAAAATTATAAACATTCACCAGTCCAATACTCTCAGTTGATCAAGGTACTGCTTGCAGCAGCATTTGACCAGGTGATATATCTGAGCAGTTCCTCCATACCAAGATTAAAAAAAGTATACAAAAAATAATAAAAGTGAGGAAAAAAACCCCAGTATTTAGCAAAAAAATCAAGTGAACTATGAATTCTCTTGTTACAAACCACTACAGCAGAAACGTGCAAGTAGCCTGATCCTCAGAAGCATGTGCAGTGCCTCAAGCTTCCCTCCCCTCCTGCAGGTCAGGCAGACTGTACCTGCAATCACATGCTACACATCTCATGAGAAAGTGGGAAGTACGTAATAACAGCGTTGCTGCAGTACACATGGGAAATAAATTCAGCAATGCTGCCCAGCCCAAGCCATGGGGAAGCTTTCAGTTCCCACGAAACCAGGAATTTGGGATGACAGTAACAATTTTCTTTGACAGACAGAACAAACGAAAGCCAAGCTGTAAATGCACTCTCTGTACCTCAGACAAAGCTCTGTTCCAGTCCAAAGTTCTTTTCATCAAAACTCTTCTGATAACTTTCTTACTAACTCATTGACTTAAAATGTCAGCAACACTGCAAGGTGTGACTTCACACCTGAAAAGTCAAGATTTGTCTCTTATGCATTTGATAGTGAGTTTATCCAAGGGAAATCTGGACTTTTCACTTTTTGTGGCTTTGGTACCCTTCCCACAAGCTGAGTTACCAATTTCTGATAGCAAGATCCACTCCTGAAAGGGTCATGAGTTTCCTCTGAAAACCCAGCTGAGCAGCCCAAGGAGTACAGAACAGCTCCTACTTCTGACGGAAAGAGAAGTTCAGACAGCTCAGGTGCTGTCAGGACTACACCATTTAAACACTTTTCTTCCTGTAACACATTAGAGTACATAAATACAGTGAAAGGAATCAGTATCACCACACTGACAACAACTATGCTGAATACTACTGACCATGACAGAACTGCCAGCTCTGCCTGGCCACATGACTCTCTCATAGCCAATCTCGTAGTGCAGAGTTTAGGAATTTCTGCTGATGTGCTCCATGTCATGAGACACATGTGACAGAAACTACGAGCTTGGTCATTTCTAAAGCAGCGTTCCCCACTCTAAAATTGGAAATAAGCTGCTTGCAGCACTCAGTTATAGTAGGCAAGGGGTATTTATAAAGAAGTCCTTTCCTTACAATACAAATACTTGCCCTGCTGCAACATTACCCAAAATTTAGGAGGCTATAAGCATTTCACAGTACCCATGGAGGGGTCATGCTCTGCACTGTACATGCACTTACCTCCTTATCAATCAGCCTCAATGCATACTTCACTTCAGGATCCTTCAGAGTAATCGCAGGATGGGGGTTCCTGAAAAGCCTCAGGATGGTGGTGTAGATTATCCATATTGGGTATGTCACAACCCAACTCAACTGCAGCAATACAG